TGCCTTTTAGCAGGGTCATTCTCTTTCGACTCTTCTAGATTCCAAATAATTAAACTAAGAACGTATTTAACTTCTTCAAAAGTCATGTTCACGGCTTCTGACCGTGATGCCAGTCCTGCCTGTTTAATGCTGAAAGCTTACCGTTAGCTTTCCTTGCAACAATGTCGTGAAAGTGAAACGAATGACTCACGACAACGTTTGATGAGGTCAAACTTTTCCCATATAGCATAGGGTCAAATATTGTCTTACTTTCGGACTTTGGAAGAGTAAGCTTACACGCAGGATGTGAGTCCATTAAGGACTTTCCAATTTAACGGGCACTTTTTTTAGCTATCTCTCCTTCTCCTTTACGCTTTCGTGTTATTCATTTCCCATCCGTCGCAGCATCCACATTAAAACTGCTTGGGATGACAATAGTTCTAGCCAGATCATCAGTCGCTGATGCAGAAACCTGGCCACCAATATATAATGGTATATCTCTCATTGATTGTTTCGGAGTAGAAATCTCTATTTCGTGTTTCACAGTTGAATGCCTGGCATGTCTCGTGACGGCACTTGCGACACTAACGAATTCTTTGCTATCAGTACCCATGTTACCGGTACAGCCCTCATCAACCACTTTGCTAGCTAACACCAGAAGGCTTATTACTTCTTGGATGAGTAATGTTTTGCTCGAACAAGAAAACATACAGAGCCAATAAAATTTAGGCTTTAAGTACCTTTTATGGCCTACTCAATATATAACAATACGCAAAGTTGCCAACAATATACTAGAAAGAATTAACAATACAAACCTAAGCGTATGTCTATGACTAACGCAAAAGGTAACAAATTACAGTTAAAATATGGAGCGGTGTATTGAACAACAAAATGGTGACAATTGTTATGAAATGAATGTTACTTGTAAGCTGCTTCCCGAAATAACCACAAATGAGTTCACTTGATTCACAAAGGTTCCTCTGCACGTGGTGGCACAAAACGAAGATTAAATCCGGTAGTATTATTTAATGATGATCCGGGCCAAAACTCCAACGTAGTGTAGGCAGGCCTAAAAGGATGCTATAATACTATTATAATCTTCAATCAAATACTGTGGCCAATAAAGCAGAAAAATAGTAGGCGGAGATAGCGTTTGTAACCTCAACCACGTGCTGAGGTAATGAATTCCACTCGTTGATGATTCAATGGGAAAGTCAGTAGTCAGCGGACAAGTAATCCGTTCTGGGCTTTTGAACTTTTTTGGAATGTCCTCGTAGATTTTCTGCTTTGGAAGACAAGAAAAATGAGGGCATATCAGGTGAAAATTTGTCACTAAGCAATTTGAAAACTGTAATCAAGTCGCCTCTGATTCTTCTATATGACAGCTGGAATAAGTTTAGCTTGGTCAGTCTAGTACCATACGGGAGCTTCGCTATTCCGGGAATCAGCCTAGTTGCTGTTCTCTGAACCCTTTCCAAGAGTTCACTGTCTTTTTTAGGCAGGGGCTAGCTGCTTGTATGCAGTACTGAAGTTTAGGACGTACGAACACTGTATACAAAGTCAGAAACGTTTAAGCGTCGAGATGACTAAAAGCTCTGCGTACGGACCATAAAGTTCTAAAACCTTTGGCGGCTATTGCACGGCAGTGTGCAGTAATCTTTAAGTCTTGACTAATGATGACTCCTAAGTCATTGTGTGCCTGGACAATGGGTAACTCAATGTTATTCATCGTGTATGTATCTGCACCCTGGTGGCCAATATGCATCGCAATAAACTTGGAAGTGTTCATCGGCAATTGCCAGGTTTGGGACCATTCAGATACTCTCTCTAGGTCATTTTGGGGTTCTAAGCTATCGCCCTTGCTTTGTATCGATCTTCACATCTTGACATCGTCAGCATAGAGTAAGACCGATGATGATAGTAGACGAAGGAGGTCATTTACGTACAGGAGGAATAACACTGGCCCCAAAACTGTACCCTGGGGGACTCCACTAAGCATAGTTTCCCAGTTAGACAACTTGGAGTTCACCCTTACTCTTTGTTGACGAGCAACTGGGAAGTCTTTTATCCACATCAATAGATTGCCTCTAATCCCTACATTCCTTAGCTTATATAACAGCCGGTTGTGCCGAACTTTGTCGAAAACCTTGCTGAAATCGATGTAAGCTACGTCTATAGGTAACTTTTGGTCCTTAAGAGCGCATCAGCTTTCACGAGTGACTAATAAGTTTGTGAGACAAGAGTAACCTGTTCTAAAACCATGCTGCTTTTCGGAGAGGATCCGGTTTTCATCGAGATACTTGAACAGCTCCTTCCGAATAAAATTTTCTAAGATTCCAACAACCACTCTAATTAGGCTAATGGGTCGGTAATTCTCAGGCTTATGTTTTGTACCTGTTCTGAAGACTGGACTTACTATGGCGTTCTTCCAGTCTTTTGGAAGACGACCCTGGATTACGGATAGATTAAAACATATATTTAAAGGGTTCGCAACAAAGTTAGCTAATTCCTTTAGTAACCTAGGATGTAGTTCATCGGGTCCAGTGGATTTACCTGTGTCAAGCTTAACTAGCAGACCAAAGACATCGAGTTCTTTAATGGTTACGCTGTCCAGTGCTTGTGTGGGTGGATTTTCATGGACTGGTGAGAAGGGTGTTTCTATGGTGTATACATCGCTAAAGTATTCAGAGAATACTTGAGCTTTGCCAAAGTCATCCTCCACTAGTGATGTGGCAGCACTGTCTCCCCATAGTGAAGGAACATTTCTTCTTTATGTCCTTTGGTTTATATACGGATACAAGCGTTTAGGGTATTCTATGGATTCCCTAACGATTTTCTCTTCGTACAGCTTTCTGGACATACGGAGGGTCGAGGCACAGGTATTCCGAGCCTTCTGATACTGAGATTTTGCCTCATCAGTCCCCAGTAACCTAAATCTATCCCACATTTTCCTTCTTTTACGGAGAAGGACGCGAACCTCCCTACTGAACCACGGTGGGGAGTATCTCGGCCCCCTAGGCGTAGTCCAAGGGACGTGGGGGGAGTAACTTTTAAAGTCCCCTAGGATAAGATATCGATCACTTCGTGACAAAGTGTTGAGACTGCTTAGCAGGACCTCATTTACCTCACAGCTTGGACTGCGATATATCAAACCAAGCAGCAGCTCTTATCCCTTGAATTCCAGGCGGCAGCTAACTAATTCATACGTCTCACTCTCATGGAATACACTCTCGATAATGGTGAATGGAATAGCATTCCTAATGAATAGAGCTACTCCCCCTCCTTTACGCGTTTGTATTCTATCGGCCATTACCAATGTAAAACCCTCGAAATCAAGTTCCCTAATATCTATAGACTGCATCAGCCAAGTTTCTGTGACTGCGATTATGTCTGGCTTAGTTGAGTCAATCTGTACACAGAGTTCCGATAGCTTATTGAGTAAGCTCCGGGCGTTGGTATAACAGATCCGAAGCCTATTTAAGTGGCCTCGTGTTTCACCGAGAGTGGCTTCGGCATCATCCCCTGTCGAAGACTCACAACCCGAAAATTTACAATTTTCAAGTCTTTTTCGCCGGCGTCTAATCTGAGCTGTAGTTCTTTTTCGGCTTCCCGTCTTTTAACACGGTCCGCCAGCGGAGAAAAAACTCCTGAACCCTTTAATTTGTGTCCATTTTCTAAGATAAAGTCGCGTTCTTTTGGGCATTTGAAAACTACTTTGAGCAGTCTAGACTGATTAGGCTTCAAATTTGCCAGGCTACCTAGCCTATACACCTTTAGCAAGGTGACTCTGGAGGTGTTTTGGGGCATAACTTGGTTGAGTAGCTGTTTTAGCAACGCAATGTCATGCTCAAAACAAGCTCTCGGTTCTGAGCTCTCGCTCTCCTTGATTCAGTGGAAAATGAATGACCTGCCGCTGTGATCAGACTTCGGCTTTTCGACTACTTCGGTGGGGTAGGATGCCCTTTCACGTGGTTTTTTCCTTACGACCCGTACTCAATCGTCGACGTTGTTTGGAGTAGTAACCACAGTCGCGTCAGGCGTACTATGGGATTCCGGAGGGTTGAGGACGACTCGTGAGGTCGGGTCGTCTTTCGCGCTGGAAACTGCCCGAGCCTTGCGGTTCTGGCTTCCGGAGGTTCCCTTCTGGGTGCCATTCTGGATACGGGAGACAGAAGAGACCTTTTTACGCGAGTTTCTGGTTGGGACAGACCTCTTTGAAAGCTGTTCTTTCTCCTTTGGACGATGTGGGTCAGCATTTCTTGGACTCGCTCGTGCCTGCCTTACGTCAATATGCGTGTCGACAGACTGAGTTCTGACCGACGTGTCCTGACCGCGCTTGTTGAGACACTTCTTCAAAGCATTGATCATTGAGATGACCTCGGTCAACAGGCTATTTGCGTCCAGAAAGAACTGTTGACATAACCATATGCAGCCATTCTTACTAAACCGTTTAAAAGACTTAGGCGTTAGATTCGTGCAAACTTCATGGTACCAACGTTTGCACTCATCACACTGCATGCTGTCAACGGGATATCGACATCCTGGACGCTGGCAAATGCTTTTGTTGCACCTTCCGGTCATTTGAGGATGAAAAAGTGAGTTTTGACCAAGTAGAAAAAACTGTAAATAGTTAGGACCAAAGTACTAACAGATACAATAGAAAAAAACAAGGTACTCTAGGAAACCGACGATAAACTATTTTAGAAACCAAAAATGATACTCTAATCGAATACTTTAACTGAAAGAAATTCAATTAAAGTATAAATAGTAGTCTTGACACGTTAATAACGATCAAAACAATAGAATTTACTCAACGAGGAAAAATACCACTGTCATTTTTAAATAGCGCGCAAAATAGCACGCTTATTTCATAGGAAAAAGATCAATATAGGTTGTAGGCTTATTATTCTCACTGAAAAAACAGGATTTGAAATCTGAATCAATACTTGAACCTGAAGAGTAAGATAGGTCGGCTATCATATAGATATTGGATATTGAGGTCAAAGGTCGTACTACGCGGGAGAGTACTTTCGGTTGCAAGGGGGTGAGCACTTTTTTGTGTGTTGTAGTTGATGTCGTTTCTTAAATATTGGTCCTAAAGACCAGCGGATAGGTTATCTTTGTAATAAGGTAGAGGATTTTATCTCTGTTTGTAGGAACTTGGATCGTAATATTATTGTTTGGAAGTCGACTTTCGTATCGTCTACATGTGGTGTACCTTCGCTGATACCGGTCCACAAACTCGTAGAATAATCCTCTCTGGTGAACATCAAGATAAATGACATGTTAGGCTTTCATTCGACAATTTCATTGAATGGTAGATCGTAGTAATATCAAAGAATAGTTAACATCTCACAGATCAACTTCCTGTTTTAAATGCTGTTTATTTTTCCCATCGTTGAGAATTTGATGTAATTCTGTCTCTTAATCCTTAATCCTTGTCAGTAAAAGGAGGCTTGGGATGTCAACTCCTGCTAACCCGTACATATGGATTATAGCTTAGGTTCACATAGAATGACCTTAATCTACAATCGATAAGTCAGTTGAAAAAGTCCGCTACATTTTTGCGGAAGTTTTTGAATAAGTGACTCATCACGTATCCTTTGTATTCCAAGTAAGATATATTGTTAGCCGGGCATCTGTGCTCAAAGATGAGTCGCATAGGTGGCCAATAGGAACTCATCGACATGTCGGACCGTCTCCTGCAACTTTGCTCAGACTGCAAACTTTCCGGTCAGCAACAACATGCGGCATATTTAGCACCAATATGTTACCCGGGGTTCGCCTGAGACTTAAGGATAGAATTAAGTTGATCATATTGCGATCACCTACTTCTCGCACGGTTGTACACACGACTCCGGATCTTTTTGTTGTATTTGTTTGTGCCAAGTTTGTTTTACGTTTCAGTGACCAGCTACCGTCTTGGCCTAGGAGGACTGATGAAACCAAATTGGCTGTAGCTTCCGTTACAACTGAATAGCATACTGAGATTCCTGACTGATAATCAGTCCTGCGTAATGTGTAGATGAGTATTGGATGCATTTTGATGACGTCATGAAAATGGCGAGTGGGTTTTAAAAGACGTACCACTCATAAGCACAAGGTTTTTGCAGGTTCCTCACAGCTCCCTCAGGCATTTTAGCTTGCTCCGGCGAATCAAATTACGTAAGGAAATATCACGAAGTCTGCATAAGGACTGATAAACCTGGTGGCCAAACCAGCCGCTACATCTGATAGTTGCCGGGAGTTGTTTCAACTCATCCGAGGCACTTGCAACTGGAAGCCCGGTATGGGTGGAACAATCTGTGAGGTTGACGGAGCACCACTTACCAGCATTCAGAGATATCTTGGACAGTGGGCAGTTTTTTGAGTGTCCGTTGAGCTGGCTTGTTGCTCCAGCGATGTCGATTAATTTGACCCGTGACGACAAACCTTTACTAGGCCGAAGTTCGCAAGCACCTTCCAACTCTTGGAGCGTTACATGTGGTCAGGCTAAGACGACTTACTCCCAGTTTTTCTCAAGGGTGGTGGTGATCTGGTCAGGAGGCTGAGTAGGTGTTTTGGGAACGGGGTTTGTTTCAACATCTTGGAATGAGGTGATCGTCGTAACTGTCTACATCATCCATGCAACAACTATTGGGGGTTAAGTCTACCTCCGTTTGCGTCCAAACTATTGGGTTCTGTCATACTTATCAGATTGTTAGAAGCCCGTGAAAGACTAATTCGCGGAGAGCCGGATGGTTTTCCTTTTGGTCATGAGTGCATTGGTCATCCGTCTGTCAATCAGCTACGACCTAAGGCCAGGTACATATATGCATCGGTCCAAGTTGCCCCACCTCATTACCACAAGTAAATACCAAATTCATAGTGGTTACTTCAATAGTAGTAATATATTGCTATAACTTGTGGCCAAGTGGAAGCCCTGTTAACGTATGACGTGATAAAACTGCCACTCAGAGAGCAGCGAATTATCGACTGGAACAGTGACACACGAAAACCGTACGAGCAATCTAGAGTACGTATCGGTCTTGCTTTCTGCTTAGCCCAGCCAGTTAAGTCCAGAACAGCCTCTGCGGTATGAATCATTGTATTTCAAACATACTGAGTTTACATACTAGATAGACTGACCATATCGTACCAATATAATAGAAAATAACATTTGTACAAGGTTTAGCCAAATGTGGCTGTGAATGTGGGAGGCAGCAATTGATAGACTGGGGATAACTCAAGAATGGTAAGTCGTATAATAGTAGTCTATAGGTCAAAATAAAGCTTATAATAAGAGGAACATGAATATGAATAGTTTAGTTATTTAGCGACCATACGATAAAAAATATATGCGTAATATTGGTTCATAAATAGGTCCCAAAGTTACCATTCATTCTTATCGGGACATAACATATATAAAAGAAAGATTGTGTATAAGGGAGAAAGAATTAGTTCGTAGAAAGAAAGGTATAAAGCAATTTCAATCTCACCGTTTAAAGGAAGGCAAAGAGTGTATACACTAACACCATTGTGCTCAATTCCGAGCCATCCATTGATCATATCAACCCTCCACTAAATATTAACACCACAGTACTTATTACAGGTTAACAATCGTCTTTCTTGATGTCAAAGTCATCGATTCGTTATACAGGACTGTGGTCTGTGATTGTTTGTTACAGAAGTTTATTTACATCTTAAAGGCTCTGCTCACAAACACCTTAGGTAGAGTAATAACATAGAACCACCTTCATTATTTTATTTCATTAGTGGAGTCCAGCAGTTTTCCAACCCCGCCATTCCTCCTTAACTTTCCCATAAATGACGTTCTGAAAACAACTCTGATTAAAGTAGGTAGTGGTGTGGATCTGTTGCCTGGAGCTAGATTATTTTTATTACGAGTACGGTGAAAATATTGTGTAACTGCGCAATGATACTTAAGTTATGCAATCCGCACTTAATCAGTTAGCAATGGGCGTCCTTTCTTATGGTATGTTCTTTGAATCATTCAGGTACAGGATGCTAAGTGCAAGAACTGATCGGAACCTACGCCTGCTTACTCTCGGTAGGAAGCAGTTGGAGGTAGTCGCAAAGTTTGTGTATCCGGGTTGTGTAAGTGCGGGTGATGGGGTGTGATTAGACTCAGTCAGTCAGACAGCTACAACGTAGGACCAGGCACATATATGCATCAGTCCAAGTTGCCATACCTCGTTAGCACAACAAGATGAACACCGGATTCATAGAAGTAATTAATTTAGTGGTGGTAGTATATAAAGAAAGGTTGTATATAAGGATATAGTATAGGAAGGAAAAAAGTTATGAAGCAATTTTAATCTCAAGGTTTAAGGGAAGATAAAGAGTGTATACACCTACGCCATTGTGATCGATTCTGAGCCATGTCACACAGAGTCTCCAACCATTGGTTACGATAGTCACGCGGACCCCAACCAGGTAGTCTGCATCTGCCAGCATGGCTCAGACTAGAAGTTAGTGAATTTATTGACTGATGCCACGTTTTGATTTTGCCACCCGTAACTTCCATACATCTCCAACACTAGTCAGCATTGTGCGTCGTGGTAATCGGTGGTTGGGCATGCGTTATACGTGGCCCAACCATCTCAGTCGATGAAGATTCACAATCTCATCGACTGATTTATCATCATTCCCTAATACCCTGTGTATGACCTCACTATTACTCGCTCGGTGGTCCCAGCAGATGCGAACAATATTTCTAAGACATCTATGGTCAAATACTAATGACTTACGAGTATCTTCTAACCTTAATGGCCATGTTTCACAGCCGTAGAGTATAGTCAACTGCTGCGCAGTATACTCGTCCCTTAATCGATAGACGGCTGTCTCACCTTCACCATAGGTCGCGTAGGTTGGTAAAAGGCGAACGAGCTTTCTGAATCCTTGCAGATATTTCGTCAGACACCAACCCATTAGGGCTGATCAGACTTCCAAGATAAGTGAAGTTATCGACGCGTTCGACTACTTCACTCCCTATCCTTAGTTCAGGTGTTGACGCAGGCCTGTGATTAGACTAATCTACATTTAGTGGAAGCCAGAACGGCTTATACCCTTACGGGACATCTTTGGTGCTGTCGTGATGTTAGTTTGTCTCCAATGAATTGCTGACATTCAGAAATGGCACCATGTTAGTAACATGGTGGTTCGGCAACCTGTATCCGGGCACTGATAATTCAGTTAGTGTCACCATCTTGGAGCACTAGCTTCGGTGGCTGGGATATAATTTACTAATACCATCCCAGCGACTTCCATATAGTGCGTTATATACTCACGTTGAGACTCGGACCGTAGCTGCTACCCTGGTCGGCTTTGCCTATCTTGATGACCTAACCCAGCTATATTGGCTGGAACATATGTTCCTGTAGGTTCTACCATGCCAGGTAGGTCGATTGGAGAACGGTAAGACTGAAAGAAGCAACTCATGGTCTGAGGGCGAAGTCGCACTGCTGACTAGAGGGGCGTGACATCAGTAAGGTGTTTCTCTCGGACAACCAGTATCTGCAGCGATGCTGCCTTGTCACAATAAAGAGAGGAAAGGTCGACCCTAAAAATGCCACACCTCACCTTACCTCATGGATTTCCGTCTCCGGCTGTAAGGCCTTTTGAAGAGCAGAACTAACACGTCAAAAACGTCCCACAAAAAGGCCCTGCATGACCGACCTCAAGCAGTTGTCCTTTGTGCTCTGCAGTCACGCTCCCAGATAGTTAAGACTAACACTAATCCAACTTCCTTTTCAGGTTCTTCAGGAAATACTATTCTACTGTGTGGGCAGCCGGGAAGCGACATCATCCCTCATACCCGTAACAACATACGAGACCAAGTTGGTCACATTCAAATCCTTCCTCCATCTAACAACTCTCTTATTTTCACGACTAACCCTTCTCACGTTCCTTAATCACCGCACCGCTAACGCAAACAATCCGAGTACGCGGAACGTTACTCCCGGTCTCCTGAAACCACGTTGTAAACTACATTTAGGAGCATTTAACGTCCGAATATTGTGCCAAATAGGTCAACAGGCTTCCTTAACTAGGACTTTAGAATCTCGCACCATTGATGTGTGCTGCGTCTCCGAAATGTGCATACAGGATTCGAGTAGCGTCGTTAATTTGACTTCATCATATCAAAATAAAGAACCATCTCGATTCACTCAACCTAGGCCAACAAACATTCGTATCTAATTCTACATTCTTTATGTTTCACATTTGTTACGTATGATTCAAAAGCCTAAGATTAGTATATGTGGCTTCTTGCTGTTTCTTACCATATAAGATTAATTACTATTTTTTGCTCGTTTTTACCTTAATTTATTGATTACCACAACATAAGATTGAAGTTGAGACTTTATGCACAACTCTTCTACGATCGGAATTATGTTTACTATCAGAAACTTCTAATAATGCTCAGTAATCTACTGCACTAAAATTGGAACACTTGTACATAAGCAAATAATTCTTTAAAAACTGAACAACACTTTTAAAGAATATTAAGACATACTGGAAATAGCGATTTCGTTGTTTCCGATCCAGTAATTTTTCCATATAATAGCAATCACAGCTACGCATGTCATGCGGTAAGATTTTAGAGGTTTGTATTCGTACAGGGATTGTAACAATTGACTCAGATCTAGTAGACCTTCCGAGAATCATTGAAATGCATCATGGCAACAATATAAAATATGAGAACCAGCCGTCCACCTAGGGGAGTTGGAAAACCTTGATTCCAAACCAATGGTGGGTGTGGCGGGTGTGGCCCCCTAAGAAACCTACCTGCTTCATTTTGGGCACCTGGGCAGTATCACGGCCCTCGCACAAATCAAATGAGATTTGGTGCTTCCGTGTACCAATATTTATGTGTTTAAATAAAAAATAAATAAAATCCACCAACTCGGTTAAAGTGCTGGACATTCGCTTTTTGTTCTCTTAATTTCTTAAACAACAGTAATACCGTGGGAAGGCAGTGAGTAGGACTTCCCTGACAGTGGCTGCATACGCGTGGCCATGTGAAAGCATTTCGAGAGGGAGAGCTGACTCTCCCTACCCTTGGCCGTACCAGGGAATTTAGGGGGTTCATAGGTGTCTGATGGGTAGTGCCGAGCGTCTCGTTATTTCTCTTCTCTAAAATATTTCTGATAGAAGATATGCGTGTGTTGCAATCCTAATTGTAGGTACTGAAGAATTACCGGCTTGCAGTAGGATTACCAAGTATTAGTGTTTGGTGTTGATTATTAGGTCAGGTTGTTGACCTGGTGGACGAGATAGATCTAAATAGAACAGTAGGGATGTGTCAATTTACTATGTATTTTGGAAGATTAAGTTTTGGTATCTATCTATTAAGCCACTATGTGAATCACCTGAGTATGTCAAAACTTCTTTGTTGAGACCTGGGAGTCGGCCTTATTTAATTTTTAAATGTTCACTTTCGTTACTTCTGTCTCAACCCGTTGGTGCCAGTAGTATGATTATGCTCTCTGTCCTGTTTTATCTTTCCATGTTCAAAACCATGTTACGTATTCATTTTGGGAAGACAAGATAATGTTTTCTTTAGATGAAAGTTGCGATTGATGTCTGACGTTTTACCAAGCTTTCCATTTTAAAACCAATTGTTATTATAAAGTGCCTTTCTAGATTCTTTATACCAAAATAAATTTATCGATTATTCATTATTATTTCTTAGATTCATCTAAATGGTGATATATGGATGGAGAAAGTGTGCGCAGTGGACGAAGTGAAAAAAGCGACCGTTCTCGTCGGTCAAAACGCATTCAGCGGACAAGTAATGTTACTTCCAATCAATCCGCGTGTATGTTTCAAGGACAAGTAAAGAATGTGTTAGCTTCTCATAACCAGCCACTAGCTATTGGACAGAGCATGCAAAATGTGGATACAGTTGGCCGTCAATCTCAGTGCAATTTGATGCCAGTTGTTCCACAGCCTCATATGAGCATGTTTCCGCAGCAACCAATGGGAATGCAACAGCCTAATTCTCATCCTTATACATTAGAAACATGGATTCCCCCTTTAATGCCAATGAATCCCAATTTCTCCTCTTGTTCTCAGCCAAGCATGTACATCCCTAACGCTCAAAGTTGGACCGATCAATCTGTACAACAGGTATATGCCCAACAAATAATTCATCCGTCCATGCCTTCTCCATTCACCCGACCCCCAATTTGTGCAGGAGTACAATCAAATCAACTTCAGTCACAACAACAACAGGTCGGTTCTTTCATACCTCCTGGACAACAGCATCCTTTAGCACATACTGCTGCATCCCATGTTTCTCCTTCCCAGATACCTTCTCAACCATCATCACAAGTTCCTGAGCCATACCGATCTGAGCGTTTTGACTCACAACTTACAAACCGAGATGAAAATGCTTGGGTTGAGGAGGCTACTGCTGTCACTGGCGCTACAAGTGAGACTGGACTCAGTGGTGACAATTTCTCACGGTTTGGAGCACGTTACGGCCTAGCAACTTCACTAGGTATACATGCCAACGGTGGTACCGGCTGTAATATTAGCGGTGCTGCAGCTGCTTTAATACGATCCGAAGCGGATGAAATAAAAATGTTCAAATGCTCACATACATTAAGTTTTGCCATTTCTGCATTTCTGGCAATCGGTTCATTACTGTCTCCAGTCCTAATGCTTTTGCTCCCACTTTTTCCGTTTTGGATTGGATGGTCAACCGAAGGGTGTGAACCAACTTGTGAAGGACATCTCATCAGTATATCTGTAAAACTTGTACTCCTCGCTATCGCGCTGTGGTTTTTAAGCTCCCCTTGTCGACCATTTTGTGGCAGTACTACTGCCATACTTCCACGTATCCGTCTTTGTCGAACTCTTTTTCTTTGTCTTGTGTTAGTTGTTTTATTTGCATTTTGGTTGTTTTATACTGTTCGTGTTATACAACCAAAGGAATCTGATTATCTTTCCATAGTAGTTTTTGCCGGCAGTTTGACCGATACTTTACTCTTTTTACATTATGCCGTTATCGCCCTTATGGAACTGCGTAAAATCCGATTTCAGTACGTTATACACATTGTACGTTCTCCAGATGGAATGTCAAGGACTTTAAAGTGTGGAGAGATGTCGTTGCAGAGGGCAGCTATAGAAGTTTTACAGTTTTACATGGTGGAATTCACAGTATGTTTCCATTTTTTCGTTTTTAGGTCTTTATCAGTGTTTCTTGTTTCATATGATTGTAATAACGCCTATCAGTTACTCCTGACACGTGATATTAAGTTTATATTCTGAAGAAGTTATAGAAAACAAAATAAATTTACGAAGAATATAAATGGTGTCGATAGTCGATTGTTCGTAGTTAAGTGCTTTCAACTATCATCGGTCATAAATTTTATAAAGTTTAAAAAATAAGTAAAAGTGTGATTTCCTCTTTAATGTTTAAGATAAAACATATTTACTGGTTTCCAAGGCCATACTCATTAATAGTTAGTGGGTGGGTGGTCAGTAAAATAAACTCAATATGTTGTAAAGGAAAGAATAAACCAAAGGAGTAAACTTATTCGACTAACAAGAAGTGTATGCATCTTCGCCATTGCGAATGATTTTAAGGAATGTCATTCACAGTCTCTAACCATTAGTTACGATAATCGCACGAACCCCAACCAGGTAGTCTACACCTATTACAATGGCTAAGTTCAACTGCCAATGATCTCATGGACTAATGCCACGTTTTAGTATACCTGCATCTAGCTTTCTCCCAGCCTACTCCTACGCTAGATAACATCGTCTGTCGAGGTAGGCAATTTCGCGATATGCATTCCACATGTCTCAACTACCTCAATTAATGAAGATTTACTACCCCACCAATCGACTTTCCATCTTTACCTGATACTCTGTTCCTAACTGAAGCATTACTTACTCGGTGGTTCCAAAATATACGAACAATGCTTTGAATATACTTATGATCGAATACACTTAACCTACAAATATCCCTTATTCTTAAAGGCCGTGTTTCACACCCAAAAAATAAAACAGCGAACTAATGAGCAGTAAACTCGGATATCTCTCCAACGCCACAAGTGGCGCAAGTTGGCAAAAGCCAATCAAGCTTTCTGAAATTGTGTTGAGATTCCGTCAGACACTAGACCATCAGGACTGACAGCTGATATAATTTTGTTGGGATGAAAATATTTGCGGTTCACTTTAAATATATCGTAATGAAACATGGACTGTTGTCCGTACTGATTATTTAGTATTTCAACTAAATCAGAACTATATTTTTGTTCGAATAACTATTACTGTATGTAAGAACTCTCGTCTAAATTAGAGCGAATAGTTTCACAGTATTTGAGCGCCGAGTTGATGTAAGACATTAAATAAGAATAATATATTTGTAAAATCTCAGCGAATGAATTTGTAGTAAATCCAACGTTTCGCCTGGCAATCTGGTCCAAGCTTTTTCAAGGAATTATCCCTGAATTCCTTGAAAAAGCTTGGACCAGATTGCCAGGCGAAACGTTGGATTTACTACAAATTCATTCGCTGAGATTTTACAAACTATTACTGCTTTTTGCATTTTTTTCGTCAATTATATATTGGGGATTTCTATTCAAAAATCCATCATTAGTGCACATATCGCACCAAATATGCTTACAGTTTTAGATGTATCTTCTACATATCACGTTATTGCTTTAAGCGCAATGAAACCTCATTTTATTAAAAATGTGTATTTACAGGCTTACAACCCAAATCAAAACTCATCTTTCAGCAGCGGGGGTGGAGGTAAACGTAGTCGTCGCGGTGGTTCTGCTTCTGGTAGTGGGAATGGCGGTGGGTCCAAATACAAATTTTACGATGTAGATAGTGGTGGGGCTGGTTTAGGAAAATCAGAAAACGGTGTTACGTATACTGTTGAGCAATCTGGTGCTATTACTGCCCCTAGTGCTTCAGTTCGTTTGTATGAGGAAATTGAGTTGGAAAAAAGGATACGTAAACGGCGCATGAGACTTCTTTTGGCTGTTGAGGAGGCTTTTACTCATGTTAAGCGCCTTGCTGCTGAAAACTGCAATAATGAAAGAACTGTTGGTGTTGTTGAATGTGATCAAACATTGGTACCTTTCAAAAACACTCGAAGTAAGTTTTCTGCATTCCTTTCCACCAGTTATGTTACTTTAATGTGTTTGGGAGGCTATTAAAGACGAAGTGCATATAGTTACCTTTGAATTGTAGGCAGAAATAACTATTATTATTTTGATTCCTCGATTTTTTTCTTGTTCTGCTGACGCTAAGTAGGGGAACATACCCCACACCTCATATTTGTGTTAGGTTTTAAGCTGTTTACGATTGACTGTTCCTATCGCATATATTACATTATCATTGCGAAAACATCATTGTACAGCTGTGCGAAATAAATTTCTGTTTTGCGAGTCTCAAGGATTGTCTAACTTTTCCCTAACTTAATGTTTAATGCCAATCGAATTAAGGTCAGTTTAAAAAACATTACGTGAAATTACCGTTGATCTGAATCGTATATTGAAGTATAAAGTAACCAAAATTCTCGCGAATTTTGAAGTAAATACGATATTCTATTCTTTGCTTATTTCTTCTACTCCGTCCATATTTTTTCCAACATCCTTCCATTTCTATTGTCTGTCTCTTTTGGTGTTACTAGTTGTGATAGATTTGACAGATGGACGTTTGTGCTAAGCTCAACATTGTGTCTTTCTACTTGGTATAAAGAGTTACTTTGAAGCTTAAGGTTATTTATCTTAATGTTCACATTGCATGCCTTTTTTATTATAGTAGGAAATTTCTATGGTTGTTCATGTCGCCTTTTGACAAACTTGTTTCTTTAGCCCTGCTACGGCTGAGAGTGGGGAGAGTCCACTCTCTCTCTCTCGAAATGCTCTCACATGGCCACGCGTATATAGCCTCTACCAGGAAAGTCCTATTCACTGCCTTCTCGTGTCGGGGGTGTTGTTTAAGAAATTGAGAGGACGAAAAGCAAATGTCCGGCGCTCTAACCGGGTTGGTGGACACGAAAAGTCCATATGGGCTCCAGTATCCTGAGGGAACAAATGGCGTATGAATCAATCGTTGGTCACCGGCTACCATGGGACTGCATCTCCTCACGATGCTCCACTGCCTTGTGAATCAGACCTTTAGGTCAAAGGCTCCGGATGTGGCCCCGTAAGAAAACTGCATGCTTTAGTTTGCGCACCAGGGTAGTATCACAGCCCTCACACAAATCAAATGAGATCTGTGTGGCGCATATGTATCTGGTGCCCCCTTGTACCAATATATGTGTTATTTCCGATTTAGCCTCAATCGGCAATCCGTTAATTGTTAAATTATACAGCTTGACCGATATTTTTAAAAGCCAAAGGTTTTTTTTGGTGTTCTTAATAGTCATTCACACACATGTCAATTTAATAGTGAGGTTCATGAAGTTGTTCTGTTTATAATATCTAACACAGCTTTTTAGATATATTGGTTTTACCATGTTTATTTTTTGCTTATATTCTGTATATAAGTATGTTATTTTATTACATAAAAAACCATTCTTTTGGCTAGCAATCTTATCTTCAATTTCCAATCATTAGGGGGCCTCAGCCAAATATAATGTCTCGTGAGTAGCTATCACTCGATCACTTCATAACATTGCGTTCATTTATTGATTAGCATTCAATCTATCGTTTTTAACAGTCGAAACGTCGTCTAGGCAAATAATAGAAAACATGCTCTATAACTAAAAAAGATCCCAATTAAACAAACTTATCAGTATATCTGGTCCGAGTTATAATGAAGTAAAAGTGCTTAATTTATTCAGAGGTCGTTTATACTACATTTGATGTTCTGTATAAAGTTATTGATATTTTGTTCGACAGGTGATGCTGAAACCCGCCGGTTGTCAGCAACTCGATAACATATTCGATTTCACCTTGCCTATTTAGGTTTATATGGTCGAATAAGAGAATAAAAGAAGGTAATCAATAGAAACAACTGAAACAAAGTTTTGTAGCTATTAGGATTAGTTAACAAGTGTTGTCTGTAACTTCTAGGTATCCTGAATCAGAAGATTTTATCAATATTATCACGAATCCATATCAGTTGGTAAACTACTTTTAATTGCTTGACATAACTGAAACTTAATATCAGTTGGTCAATTAGCGGTTAATTAAACTATTGTTAACACGGTAATCAGTCTTTTATACCTGGGCCTTTTATTTGCCCGAAAGCATTTCATTTGTTACAGTTCATGTGTTGCATCTATCAGCCTTTACAAATCGCGCAAAATAGTTTTATATAACATCGTTTGTTACAATTTCTTTTTGTGTTATTATTTCTTAGCACTACGTTGCGTTTATAATTTGATTTTAGGTAATGGGAGGATGTCAAAGCTTACTTGCTCTCCAGGAAAATCTTTGGATCCGTATGAAGCAGCACAAGCTGTTTTCCCTACTCTCATCCGGCCGTTACAAAAGTATATGCGTGTTACACGTCAACAAGCTCGTCACCCTGTGGATATGGTAATTGATCATCTCGCTCTTTGCTTAGCTTATGGCCTGTCACCTCACGCTTTCTTGGAAAGATTTAATCCTTCGGCTGCTACACCACAACAAGATGCAGCCGCAGCTGCATCAGCCATTGCAACAGTAAAGAGAGCTAAATATCAACAGAATACCAAGCAAGTTAACACTTCAGACAATCTAGATCCATATCCTCTACTTCCTAAATTAGTGCATCCAGGCGGACAGCAGGTATGGAGTATTGTAGCTGATCGGGCTCTATCTCGTAGTTTAGCGGATGGTGCCATATTTCAGCTTCGTCGTGGAAATGAGCTGTCGTTGCTTTGTACTGTTAGACGCCTGCCGCTTATCTATCTTATCGAAGAAATATTAGAACCGTTGGAGGCAGGTAGATTTGTTTTACGAACTGACAATGCAGTATGACCTTTTAAGGAACTTCAATGTTCAGGGAATGTGATCTCATCCATTTCATTTTCTTTTCTAAACCGATTTCGATTCGCATTTCTAAATATGAACCGGTATTGAATAATATGTTGATTACATTACTCGATTCAGTTTTATCCGTTCGTCAAATTTTGCATTTATATGAAGTCCAGAATTCGTTTGCTTTTCACACAAGTTATTGTTTTAGGTCAGTCTTACATTATTGTTTGTATTGCATTGGATTTTTTCTGTTTTTGCTTTGTGTTTTATGGGGCTGCTTTGTGTACGTTGGTCTTTTAAAGTTTACAAGTGCTTTTCTTTATTTATTTTCGATAATTAACTACTAGTCATTATGAAAATCTTTATCACAAGTTATTACTAACCACAGTAATTTTGTTGTGCTGCCAATTTTCTCGTTTTTTTCTCTTCATCTTTTTCTTGCATTTCAAGCTTCCACTTGTCATTTCCTAGGGAGTCATGTATCAAGTTTACTTTTAGCTTTATTATAATTACTTTTCCCGTGTACCGGTTTAATCGATGTTATTACCGGTTAATGTCAATAACTTTGTTTCTTCAGTGAATTTTGATCTTTTGCTAATTGAGTTTTTATAAAATGTAGCTGAGTATAAACCATTTAGAGTTAATATTCTTTAAGATATTTACTTGAATCACGCTTAAGGTGTCTACAGTATTTCGGTTTTCATGACTTCATATTGAAGGCGTAATGTATGCACAAACTCACATAGAACATGGATATAGGCACCTATGGATAATAAGGATTATGTCAGCCTCGTCAAAAATAATGTAGAAATTATTTTTTCTGATTAGCTCCTACATATTTAATACTTGTTGTAGAAATTGTAAAAATTCAAGGGGTAGAGTGAGTCATCGGCAAGTCCCACTGGTTACTTTGAACTGTGAGCTTATTCATCACTCTGTGAATGCTGAAAATACCACTAGAGATAATTTGCGTAATCCCACCGTAAACGATACACATAATCGAATTATCGCGTAGATAAATTCAAAAATACGATCTGCATTTGCGGTAATAGTTATCTGATATAGTGAACAGGACAGAAGTAACCAAATAAGGTCAATCAATAACACTGAAACGACTTGAAAGGCAAATGCATATCATTGATTGATTTTCTAAGGGATAGTGATGTATATGTATGAATGAGTATTTATGCATGTTATTCAGTAGCCCAATAAACTTCTCACTCAAGTAGTCAGTTCGGGGGATTAGCTCGTAGACACCGCCCATCATAACGTTGTTTGTAAGATTAATACGTAAACATTTTCAGTTCAATTCAAATGCAATCGCTTTTTAATTAGGATACAAAGTAGTTTATTCGGATATTTAGTTCCATTAAAATCGGAGCTTGCGGAAACAAAAAACAAACATTATAGTTTGAGATTCTCGTCGCATCTCATTTGTAGAGAGTATGTGTATGGTGCTTTACATCCTGGAGCTTGTTTATATGTATGTCTATGAAAAGCTACTCACTACTGTAAAAGAAGCGTTTTCTTAATCCAATCTGTCTTGAAAACTGGAATTCGATGATGATACACATTTATAGTAAAGGCATGCAACCTGACTATAAGATTTTACGCTGGATTTCAATGTTTGGTTGTTGTAAAGGAATGTGTTACATCTTCGTTAATGAGTTTCAAACATGGTTCTGTTTCGAAAATGACTAAAATTAGCTATCTGAATAACTTAGTATCCTTTGTTTGTGGTTTCGGTTTGAACAATTTCAAATTAACTTACAGTTGGCCGTATAATTTTAATGAGAACAAACTTGTAAATACACAACAATCAAAAGTATATCATTGGAATATGTTTATAAGGAAAAACATAGTTCATTCATTATTGGTCATTAAAAGTGTCAAACGTTAGGTATATGTCATGGTTCATGATTGAAACCTTACTTAACTGGTAGATATCAACCGTCTCATTGTTTTCTATGCTTGTTATTTGATCTAAACACGAGTTTACAAGTGTACGCGCTTATCAATATATGAATTTGCATAATTTCTTAAGTGTCGTGAAAATAAAAGTAATTAATTTCATCGTATACATAGTGTTAAGTTTTCCAAGTAAAATGAGGTTCTAACTTGGTATTGTAGAGGTAAGGTAGACCTGATAAATGTTTATACAGTAAGAATCGATTTGTTAATTTGGCGTGAGGCTTGTTTATCATATATATTTATGAGTAAAGCTCAGTCAGGTAGTATGAAAGGATGTTAGAAATAAAAGTGTGAGAATATCCAACTGCTAAATGAACAAGTATTACGAAGACCGACCTATGGTCACAATGATGGTAAACATTGAAGTTGTTTGCTTTGTACACAAACACTTTAAAACCTTTTACTACTATTCTGGTTGTAAATATTTATCTATTATTATTATTATCAAAATTAGTATAGGATTATGAATATTTTCATATCGTTATTTTCAAGGATTCCGGACAATTACTAGTTACTTGTAGAAATAATTAATATAACTCATTATTACGATTAGTGAGAGGGAATTCTTGGTCAAATTTTAATATTCGGTTACTAGTAAAACAGTTTCAACGACTTATCGAAGTCGTCAAGTTTAAAAACTGAAAGTCTGTACACAATTAAAGCCAGATTGCTGATAATTGATTTGATTCAGTTGGAATATTTTTGAAAGGTTCCACAAATATTTAAAATTAAAAAAAAACTGTACAAGCTTAGAGATGGGGATATTTGTCATACTCTTTTAGTGTCAGATTGATTAACAAGTAAGTGATGAACAGCGACTTTTATGTTATCGATTATTTAAAAATAAAAAGCTAATAAAATGAAATTATGATTTTCCTAGGATTATTGCTAGGCAACAATTTGTCTAGTATTCTATCTTGGTCACTCAGTATAAAGAAAGAAAGGTTATGAAAAGAGAGAAAAAAGTGAAATAAAAACAAATTCGTTCACTAGCTAAATAGTTTATCATCATTCCTCGTATATACTGTATTATCTTTGTCTAATTTTTCCTAAGTCTCGATTACTATTTCGAATATCTTTCATTCTAGGAAAACCATCAAATGTTTCACGGCTTTTTCTCACACTGTAGGCTGCTTTAGCTTCTTCCATAAGCATAAAATTCTTCATATTTTCACGTTTCATTGATGAGTCTTTGACTTCAGTACAAATATGACTTGGAAACCATCCACGTCTACCGTCCGGTAATGCTCCTTTGAGCCAGCCTATAAGGGATTTAAAAAAAACAGTGTAATGTTTAGTTTTGTGTTATTCTCGTCCTCGTCTGAAGACATCAGATAAATAAATTTAGGGAATACAGTCAAATCTATTTAACATATACTTTTAGACATCACTATTCCTGCAAAATAAAGGTGTTTTGAGCTATTTTAAGAAATACGATATCTGTTTGATACTACTTTTTGCATAAGGTTTTGATATTTAACACATATTCTCCTAGAAAAAAATTTATTGACTACTATCTAATGATCCTTGCAGCAACTTTCATGCTAAATATGTATTGATTTCTTACACCATTGATGATTTTGGGATTGTGGCAAGAAGTGGAATACTAAATGTATATTCCTTCCTATCTGTAACTTTTAAGCTGAACATAACAGGGATATTTACACCGAGACTGGAACTCAGTATAAATCAATTCCAATTCATATGCACTAAATCACTGAGTCCAGTTAACCACTAGCAATAGGATAATACTAACTTTTACTAATGTCATATATATTATTATATTAATAATTACAATAAAATCTTTTTCTCTCTAATGAAGTAATGAATTTGACCATTTATCAGATAAATTTCAGTTACAGTTTTTATAGGAAGTGCTGAATTTCCTGGTATAATATAAAGCGGTGGGTATCAGGACCATATTTCTGTGAATAAAATCGCGTATGTTTTGGTGATCCTTAGAAGTACGTGTGTCGCAAAAAACGGTTTTTAAAAACCAGTGAAAATTTTGAAACATGAATGCACTTAATGACTTTTGAACAAATTCAGATAGTTAATTCTTTTTGGAATAAATGTATTAACTTTAAAAGTTGTCTATTATACTTATCCTACAGCTTTTTATATCAAGCTTATGTTCAGGAATCATTGTAAGTGTAAATGCAAGTGGAAGGAAGACTAAGTTTGGAATGAATTACATTGATAAGTCAACTTACATTGTCACAAATATTTTTATCGATAGATTTCGATTGGTACTTTAAGGATTGGATAAAATTGATATTGATTTCTACCTAGAGATCAATCAACTGTAAACAATTCAGTCCTATAAAAGGTCAGCCGCTCTTCGAATAGCTCAATGATATAGTCTCTGTCAGGTTTGGTGACACGGGATGAGGTTCCATAGGGAACACTGACTTACCCAAGACTATAGGTGCACTTTACTGATGAATAACATGTAGCACGAAAGCTGGATCAAGGATCTACTATCGACTACCTTCAAACACTTAATGTGTGGATTCAACTTTACAAACACTGTTCATTCCACCACTTTAAAGTTATCAACCAATTAAAATGCAGTTTATACTAAGTAATATATTTTTCTCATGGGAAGCAGTTGTTTATGTTGATTTACGGAGTTCTTATTTCAAAATTATTGATAGAGAATCAAATCGCCCAAGATGTCTGCCGGAAAATGTGGGCCATTATATTTTGATTCAATGGTTTGAAGGAACGCAACCGTTACGAGGCCTGAAAATCTCGGATTTGATCGTTCTTGATGTCATGGCCGTGCAATACTGAGCGTTCATAGACTGAGGCTAAATAACTGGTTTTCAGTGGCTAATAAGTTAAGAAACAGTAAAATGTTTTCGGAAACATTTAACTTCGATGTATGATACTTGTGTCGACATAAGTAGTATATAGCAGCAATCAGAAGTGAAATGCTTGGCAGCAGAATGTTAGGAAGATCTGATCGAAGAGAACAGGAACAGAGAGTAATTGTTATGCCAATGAAGGAACGATGAAGTTTAAGACAATTTATGGAGTATTTGTAAATGAGGTATTGATTGTATGGTTTTCACATAGACCAAAGAACTTTGTAATTTTATATTAAGACACAATCGGTTGTCCCCACATGTGTTATAATTCATTACAATAAGACTTTGATCAATATATTTAAGTAACAGGGAATATCAGGCCTTCTCTGAGAAACTAGAAAAAGCTTCAGAGTTATCAATCAGTGGGTGCATGGTGTTGATGAATTTAGAGGTTTAAGTTTCTCCTAACGTCTTATCAATTGCTAACAGAAGCTATCTTTTGATGGTGAAATAACAAGACAAACTACAGAAGGATAAACCATGTCAATGTATTTATTTGTTTGTAAATTGCTGGGATATGAATCTAAGCTCAAATGCACGCATAGTACGGTATTTAATTCTCATAGTCTGACAATAAATACATAAGACAATGTCAATAGTGCTGTGAAAACAAAGGACTGAACAAGGAAAACACCGACTATATTTTAGTTTTAGCATATATTATCATTTTCGAAAAAGATAACTAGAAGCCAACTTTGGTAAATGGTGATTATAATATTTAAAAAAGTAGTCATATAAATAATAAAGTGAAAATAATTGGATACCATCTGATAAGCTGACAAGCACATTAACTTGATCTCCCTCTTTTAATTCTAGTTCATCACATTCAATAGCAGAATAAGATTTAGTGATGAGTACTTGAGGACATTCTGTGTAATAAGATAAAAAATTAGAAATAAGAGTATATTATTTACGAAGAATTCATATGGTCAATTGAATCCTAAATTGTAAATGATTTGTATTTCTCAATTGTATTATTATTATTTATTCCTTAAACATTCCAACTATTATCAGTGATGATTAAAGTTATAATTGACCTCTAAAAGTTTTCATTATAATTATATACAATAAACTGTTTATTTATTATACATTATAATCAAAGTTATAGCTTTATGATATTAACACTAAAGTTTAAGACTTGTATTTGAATTATTCATCGGACATTTAGTCAATAATTCCTAATTGAAGTTTCATTGAATTTCATCTGGTGTTTCAATGATCTCGTATCATCAAACTTTGTTGTCTTATTGCAGTTTACAACTCAAGGCTTTCAGTATGTTTGTTGTAATAATACTTAACTAATGTTTCTGAAGAAACAGTAATCAAGATTATTCGAATCGGTGTATTACAAAAAATCTGATTATAGATAATGCGTCAACTGTCGAAAAGCCTATAGGTTACGTTCGCTGACGTCCACATATATTGTTTGTTTAATGGATTTATGTCGACCTAAAAATGAAACTCAGACACATTGTGAACGGACTGACTACGGTATAACTATTCGTATTTTTGTCGATTTTGAACTCAAAACGGATTCAACAAGAAGAATAGTAGCTTCCCTTAAAATATGTAAGATGCCTTATTAGAAGTAAATGACATTCTTTATGATTGTCATTGTAATAACTATCGCTATAGTTAACTCTTATTTTCTAAATTTCGTTTTTCAGTTATATAGGTATATAAAGCTGTACATTAGACTAAAAGGTTCATTAGTTTTCAATGTTCTATGGAATATTACTATAAAGGTCCGAATTATCATTTATATTCATAAACCATCATGAAACAGTCTACGACATCGTTGTATCATTTGTATCACTACTTCATAATATTTAGTATACTTTTTTTTACTTAAACAGTATAATAATTGTGAGGCTTACTTTAGTTATTGTATGACTCACATATTATTACCTGACACTACTACATACAAGTCGGGTGTAAATTGTTAGTGGAAATAGTTAGTAAGCTATCATATGTTTAAACAACATAAGCATTATTTAATTCCCTGTTAAGCTGGAAATTACCGTAATAAACCAGAACGACCAGTGAAAAGCAAGGAAGGCAAAGTAATCAACAACACTGAAAAACAACGGAACAGGTGGGTAGAACACTTCAATGAACTCTTGGATCGGCCAGCTCCACTGAACCCATCCAACATCGAAGCAGAACTCACGGACCTCCCAATCAATGTTGGCCCACCAACAATTGAAGAGATAAGCATGGAGATCAGACAAATCAATAGCGGCAAAGCAGCAGGACCAGAAAATATTCCAGCAGAGGCATTGAAAGCAGATGTAGTAGTAACTGCAAAGATACTCCAAATTCTTTTCCATAAGATTTGGGATGAAGAACAAGTACCAACAGACTGGAAAGAAGAACTTCTGATCAAAATACCGAAGAAAGGCGATCTCAGCAAGTGTAATAACTACAGGGACATCACTCTTCTTTCAATACCAGGAAAAGTCTTCAACAGGTTATTGTTAAACAGAATGAAGGACTCCGTAGACGCCAAACTTCGAGATCAACAAGCTGGATTCCGTGAGCGTCGATCGTGTACAAACCTAATCTCGACTCAACGGCTCATTGTGGAACAATCAATTGAATGGATTTCATCACTCTACATCAACTTCATTGGCTACGAGAAAGCATTTGATAGTGTGGACAGGACAACACTATGGAGGTTTCTCTGAAACTACGGCGTGCCTGAGAAGGTAGTCAATATCATACGTCATTTTTATGATGGATTAAAATACAAAATCGTTTATGGAGCACAGCCCATTGACTCGTTCGAAGTAAAGACCGGTGTCAGGCAAGGTTGCTTACTCTCACCCTTTCTCTTTCTCCTGGTGATTGACTGGATCATGAAAACGTCAACATCTGGAGGGAAACACGGGATACAGTGGACTGCTAGGATGCAGCTGGACGATTTAGACTTCGCAAATGATCTGGCTTTTTTATCACACATGCAACAACAAATGCAGGAGAAGACGACTAGTGTAGCAGCAGCCTCAGCAGCAGTAGGTCTCAATATACACAAAGTGAAATTCTCCGATACGACCGAATCACAATTGACGGAGGCTTTGGAGGATGTAAAAACTTTTACATATCTGGGTAGCGTCATCGATGAACACAGTGGATCTGATGAAGATGTTAAGTTGCGGATCAGCAAAGCAAGGGCAGCATATCTATAATTGAAGAACATCTGGAACTCAAAACAACTGTCAACCAATACCAAAGTCAGAATTTTCCAAACAAATATTATGACAGTTCTACTGTATGGAGCGGAAACTTGGAGAACTACGAAACCCGTCATTCAGAAGATACAAGTGTTTATTAACAGTTGTCTACGCAAAATACTTCGGATCCGTTGGCCAGACACTATCAGCAACATTCTACTGCGGGAGAGAACAAATCAGATTCCAGTGGAGGAAGAAATCAGGAAGAAGTGCTGGACGTGGATAGGACACGCATTGAGGAAATTACCCAACTACATCACAAGGCAAGCCCTCACATGGAGTCCTGAAGGCCAAAGGAGAAGAGGAAGACCAAATAACACATTACGCCGAGAAATGGAGACAGACATGAGAAGAATGAAAAAAAATTGGATAGAACTAGAAAGGATGGCCCAGGACAGAGTGGGTTGGGGAATGCCGGTCGGCGGCCTAACCTCCATTGGGAGTAAAAGGAGTAAGTAAGTAACATAACATTACAACTCATTTTGCAACATGAATTCTTGACTAAATGATCGTGTATTCTAACTTAATCTCAGGGTAGGTAACAAACAAGATCTTCCATTCCGTTTTCATCGACTCGAAACATATTTCTCCTGTATATAAATATCACTGAAGTGGAATTACTATACTTTCAACTACACTATGTGATGTTTTATCCCTGAATAAATCTTGTTGAAGCATTACTTACCACAGATTTCCAAACCTAGATTTTCAGGGATACCATGACGACCACATGAAAGACCATCCAACCATCGTTCTCTTTTTGAACTGAATGAAAATCACAAAATGATAAACAAAGAAAAATAATAGAAGTCATTTCATCTTGTCACATGTTCTAAAAGAATAACAAGTTCAATTCTTCAAGATAGTTTGTATAGAAGGAAATTTATACTGATGTTTTCTAGAGAAATAATGAGAGATTTACGGCTAAAAACCCAGATTAAAGGACATAATATTATTGACATTCCGAAAATATATTAAAACATTAGATACATAATTTAAATAAACCATTTGGAATGAAAGTGGCTTATTGCACTTTCTTCTGAATAACAGAAAGGAATTTATCTTAGAAAATGTAAAAGATTTATGGTGAGACATTTAACCACGTACTTTTTTCTTCATATAAACCTTTAAAGATGAATGTTTTATAGATAATTAGCAGACCATTGTGTTGAAAAACATACTTTTGCCGTTGATTATCAGAACATGTTAAACTGGAAATTCAGAAGATGGAAACTGATTATGTTATAATTAGTGAAAACAGGAAAAAATTCGTTTGTTATCATGGCCTTTTAAAATTGGAAGGATCCATTGCAGACGTATTTGTATTCGTCTACCCTGATCATTATGTGGGGTTACAGTTTTTATGGGGTAGATTTTGCACTGTACGTTTTAATGTCTTAAAACTAAGAAATATATTTCATATTGTTTTAGTATTGAATGGCGAGTCTCGTAGAAGATACTGTTTAAACTGGTATCAAATAAATTGCTAGTTGAACCAGAAGTTTGGAAAGCCATGAGATTACTAGGAAATGAAAATCTCAAAAGATAGCTACTATCCGTTATACTAAAAACGACAAAAATTTTGTGAGTAATGATTAGGAAAAAAGGTTTTCATTTCTGTTTCTCAAGGAGATTAAATCTTGCTGATCTATTTGGGTATGTTCACCATTTGAATATGAGTGAAAGATTTCCATTACACGTAATTATTGGATGCAGATGAGTAATTATTCAAAAGGAACAACGAAATAATTAACATATGAAAGTAGTTATGTTTTATAATTTCATTTCATTGTTTCCTACTTAATTCACTTTGTATTAATTGATCAGTTATTACTATACTAATATCCATCAATATATCAATGTACCAATTTCTGAGATTACAGTATATAGTACAATATAGTAACTGTCCATTATTTATGCTTATGATGATAATTGGAAAGAGGATTGTTCTACATGTCTTCAGGGCCTGTTAATCAAATTATAAGCTGATTTCCTTGATAAAAGTTAGGAGGTAGCTTGAAACAAAACTTGGATTAAACTGTTAATATAAGGAACTATAAAAGTATTCCCAGCATGTTTAAGTAGTATGTAATATTGTGTACTGAAATTGCACACGTATTCGTAAGGTATATTTATCGATCCCTGTCACAAAAGCAATGCGTCATTGTTACCTGAAGCGTTAGTATATTTCAACCCACTATAGCTAACTAAGTTGTTCGGATGCATTTCGATAACCTTGAAATCAAAAGTAGATGAAGATTTCTATCCAGGAATCATGAGATAAAAAACAAAACAAAGAAGCCGGTTTTAGCAACCAACGTTTTGTCACTATTATTCAACTACACAGAAAGCTGATTAAATCAAATTTCAGACACACTGATTTGGAATTGAGTGATAAAACACCAAGTTTTTTAACCGAACGTCTATTTTGGAGATCTTTTGTTGAGCAAAACAAGAATGGGGTTTGGACGACAAAATAATATCATTTTCTTTCGTGGGTTTTCACCAAGGATAAGCAGTCTAAAGCTATGACGATAACCATGGTTATATGAACGTAAAAAGATGGTATAGTCAGAATAATTATAAAAAAATCAGTGGAATGAGAAATACTCTAACCACCAAAGTTTTTGGTTCTTCAGCTAGAAGCAAAATAGAGTCAAGAATCATGGAGACAAACGAATAAGTACAAAACTCACTAAATTAGTTGTATTTATTGGTTGTAACAGTTTAATCTTATAGTAATGTAAATTGTGTTTATACAGTACGTTATTAATTAATCAGTGCTAAGTGATATTCATTTTCTTGTATTTAAAATCTGGATATTAATGAATGTAAATAAAACATCCAGACTTTTTTTGTCGAATAAATTTTCATAGTTTAATTCATGAGTCGATTAAAGTCACTACAATCTCCACAAACCCCTATTCAAATAAATTTTCATCTATTGATTTTATCTTCTCTCCTGAGTCGAGTCAAATCAGTTCGGTGGCAGTATTATCAACATGGTTTTATCAATTTTATTTATTCATAAATGCTAAATATCCTAAGAAGCCTGATTACATATGGTGAGTAAAACATTTTAAAACTAATTGTCCAAATAATTTTATTCATTTGTTCTCGAAAAAGGGTGAAATATAATAAACTGAAAAGTGAACGATAGCTTGTAATTAACCTCAGTAGCTTGGCTAGTGAAGGCATACGACAATGGTTGACTATTAAACTAATATAAGACAGTAAAAGGCTTTGTGAGTTTAACTGACATCTGGATTTAAGAAGTTCGTGTACGTGGGAGAATCTGGTATTAAAGAAAGATTTACTTAATATTATTTTTTTACCAAATTTTACAAAAATCCAGTCAGACAGTTCTGTATGAGAGTGCAAATATTTTCATGTATAATTAAAAGGTAAATATCAGATAGAGGATACAAGATTGAGATATTAAACTTCACAAATAATGCGTACATAGACCAAAACAACTCTGCTTTTTTATGAGGAAGCCATTTCTATTAAACTCTTGTCACACAAAACCTGAGTCCCCAAAGGAAGCAAGACTATCTTTACAATGATTTTGTAATTGTACTCCAATCTTTGTACATGATTTTATTTTTTCCATCTGTAAAAGCGCATCCATTTATGTTGTTATTTCCTTAATTTATTTACTGCTATTTATGTGTGTGCATTATTTGAATATCAATAAGGGAGTATTATTTAACTTTCAGTTTCTATGATGATTACCATTTATTATATATCTCAAACTTATATTGGTCAACATATATTTTTGTTTACACTGAGCCAGTATTTATACATAGTTATCGTGCCAAGTGTATTACTTGTACGTTTTGGAAAAGACAAAGCATGAAATCAATCTTGTGACCGTTTGAACAATAACTTAAGGTTAGACAGTTGTCTCTGTATATGATTTAAGTAATAACAATAGATAAAATCAATCTTATAAATTATCTGTGAGAAAATTATGTTTACTTGTAATTAGTTGGTTAGTATAAGTTACTTGAAAATGCTTGACAAGTCGAAGCAGTTATAACTAAGTACTTAGTGTTATAAAGTAGTTTAAGTTAGAAGTCGTTGGCTTCGCTGAACTGTTCTTAACTCGAATGTGCTTGATAACATAAATCACAAGTGCATATTAAAAATGCAATACAAGTGTATATGGGTAAAAGTTAGATGAAAATGAATACTATTTTATTTATGTTGGTCAGCTTAAAACACAATACTTTAATTTATTGCTGTAAATGTATAAATAAAACGAAGGCGGCTGAGAAGATCAGAAACCGATTTAAGTTAGACAGCCGTCAGAAACCTGAAAACACTAGACAGTTGTTTCTTTCTAGTATGAGAGTCCTCACCACTGCGTATCCATGATCCTGCCACCAGGGGTTAAACCTAAGACCTTCGTTCTCATAAGTCATCGGATTCCGACCCAGTTGTCTAGAGGTTAAGCCTTTGTGAGCCAGAACGAAGGTTCTGGGTCCGATCTTCAGTGATGAGGTCGTGGGTGTGCACTGGTGGAATGTCCCAAACTTGAACGAGACCACTATCCAGTACTTTTACTTTTTCATTGGTTCTGACTTAGATCGGTTTGTAATCTTTATAAAGTTCAATAATACTGTTAAAAGTGGTTATACTTACAGTGTTTCTGTTTGGAAAACGTACTGAACACGTGGATGGTCGGGTCCTTCTATTATTAAAATAAACGAAAATACATTGAGCCCAACATCCGCTGCATTATTTGTATCTGTAGAAAATTTTCGTGGTTTTTTATTATTTACCTTGCCTTGTTCAGTAGCAGCTTGTTTAGGAAGACTCAACGTTTTTACATAAGTTACATGTCCTAATTGTGCATTTAATTTAGGATCTCCAGATCGGCAGAAATGATGTATGAAACAATTAGGTAAGGCATTGTGGGCCTCCACGTGAATATAATTCAACGAACAACTATCTTCAACCATTAAATGTTGATTACTTGAATAAAGAAAAGATTAGCAGAAGGTTAAGTATCTGAATTTGGTTGCTAAACTACATGAAAGAGATTCGTAAGTTAAAATCTAGAAAAATTTGTATAAAGTATTGGTGATTTAAAATAAATTAAACGTGACGATAACAAAAACAATTGAATTTCTCCTGACTTTTATTAGATCATATAATAAGGATGTTGATGACATCATTGCTTAAAATAAACAATGATGTATCAAAAACTGGTATTTTAGAAACATGTTTAAGAAAATTTTTGACCAAGAATGACAGGTAATTAAAACGCGAGTCAATTAAATCACGTTATTGTTTCCAAGTAACTGAAGAAATGATACTCAAATGTTTGTAAGTTTTTTCTCAAAGGGTTAGAGTAAGATTAGTTTCTTCATACTTGATGAGAAACGGAAGTGAAAGGAGTATATAACCGTCTTTTGTGTGGAAAATATTTATATGTATTATTTTTAATTAACCATCCATTTTCGTTATGGAAGCATATGCTAAGTTCATTGAAAGTGGTTCTTATGATGACTCACTAAAGGATAAAAGAAAATAACTAAACCATCTATTTTACATAACATGGAGTCGACAATAACCACGTAGTAGCGGACTGTTTATTAGGTCTTACGCAGAAGAATGAACCTAATCTAGTGAACCCGTATCCATATACCTCATTTTCATGAAAGTTACTATACGAATGCACAATTTAAAGCTACATATTTATCTACAGAAGCATTGTGAATGGTAGCGTTTATTGCGATTTTACTTTTCTCCTTTATGCGGTTCGTTTCGTTTCTATCTTTTCTTTTTCTTATTTATAATTCAAATGTAATCTCATCTCCCTTAGTTTATTAAATGCGGACACTTCCCAGTTGAATTCATTTAATTAATTTATTCGGCTCAGGGAATTATGTAATAACAGTTAATTACAATCGTTTTTACCTATCTACTTGAATAATTACACCATAATCTCGCAACATATACTCGTGTCTTGAAATTTACTCTATTATATTAGTTATAATTTCTAGAACTCCGGCTGTAGCTCTTCTAGAGTCCCAAGCCCGAGTAAAGGAGGAGGGTTGGGCATGAGGTTAACGACCCCATCCCGTAGAAAAGCTAACTCGCTAAAATACGCTAACCAGAAAAAATAATTCAAACCATTTAAACTCTGTCCTGGGAGTTGAAGGAATAATTATGACGTCTCATGATGGAAGCCGAAATTCTTCGGAAGTCACGAGACCGATGCACCTTCTAACAACCGGAGCGACACTCTTTATAGGTACATGGAACGTCCGGACAATGTGGGAGACAGGAAAGACCAGCCAAATAGCAATGGAAATGAGGAGATATAACTTGACAGTACTCGGAATCAGTGAAACCCATTGGACACAAACTGGACAACAAAGGCTAAGTACAGGAGAGATGCTGCTGTACTCCGGTCACGAAGGGGAAAATGCTCCACACACTCAGGGAGTTGCTCTAATGCTGTCCAGAGAAGCACGAAATGCACTTGTGGGATGGGAATCTCATGGACCCAGGATAATCAAAGCATCATTCAGAACAAAGAAGCAAGGGATCACAATGAACGTTATCCAATGTTATGCACCCACCAATGATAGCAACGACGATGATAAAGATCAGTTCTATGAAAGGCTGCAATCAATTGTAGCAAAGTGCTCACGAAAGGACCTCACCATCCTCATGGGAGATCTAAATGCTAAAGTTGGAGTGGGCAACACAGGATATGAAGATGTAATTGGACGACATGGACTAGGAGAGAGAAATAAATTGGGGGGAGAGACTTGCAAACCTATTTGCATTCAACAAATTGGTTATAGGCGGCACAATATTCCCACACAAACGCATACACAAAGCTACATGGATCTCACCGGACCACATCACAGAGAACCAGATAGATCACATCTGTATCAACAAAAAATTCCGAAGATCAATGGAAGATGTGAGAACCCGGAGAGGAGCTGACATAGCTTCAGATCACCACCTGGTTGTGGCCAAGATGAGACTGAAGCTGAAGAAACACTGGACAACTGGACAAACAGCACTACAAAGGTTCAATACAGCCTTCCTTCGAGATACTGACAAGCTCCATGAATTCAAGATAACTCAACAACAGGTTCCAAGCTCTACAGGATCTACTGAAAGAACAAGAAACTACTTTGGAGGACAACTGGAAAGGGATAAAGGAAGCACTAACTTCAACGTGTCAGGAGGTTCTTGGTCCTAAGAAGCATCATCACAAGGAATGGATCTCTATAGGAACCCTGGACAAAATTCAAGAAAGGAAGAACAAGAAACTAGCAATTAACAACAGCCGAACGCGAGCAGAGAAAGTCAAAGCACAAGCAGACTACGCAGAAGCAAACAGGGAAGTGAAGAAAAGCATTAAAGCTGACAAGCAGAAATACATGGAAGAACTAGCAACGACGGCGGAAAAAGCCGCAAGAGAAGGGAATATGAAACAACTATATGATACAACGAAGAAATTTGCAGGAAGATATAGCAAACCAGAGAGACCAGTCAAGGACAAAAAAGGAAAGATAATCACTGAGATTCAAGAACAGAGGAAAAGATGGGCAGAATACTTCGAGGAACTGCTGAATAGACCAGCCCCATTGAACCCACCGAACATCGAAGCAGCCCACACAGACCTTCCAGTAGATGTCACTCCACCAACGATCGAAGAAGTCAAGATAGCCATCAGACAAATCAAAAGTGGGAAGGCGGCAGGACCTGACAATATACCAGCAGAAGCACTGAAGTCAGACATTGAAATAACTGCAAACATGCTTTACCTTCTGTTCAAGAAGATTTGGGAAGAGGAACAAGTGCCAACGGACTGGAAAGAAGGATATCACATCAAGATACCAAAGAAAGGAGATCTGAGCCAATGTGAAAACTACAGAGGCATCAGTTTGTTGTCAGTACCAGGAAAAGTTTTCAACAGAGTGCTGCTGAATCGGATGAAAGACGCAGTAGATGCGGAACTTAGGGATCATCTGGCTGGATTCCGTAAGGATAGGTCGTGCACAGACCAGATTACGACACTACGGATCATCGTTGAGCAATCAGTCGAGTGGAACTCATCACTATACATCAACTTCATTGACTAAGAGAAGGCGTTTGACAGCGTGGACAGGAGAACATTATGGAAACTTCTTCGACACTATGGAGTTCCTGAAAACATTGTCAACATTATCCGAAACTCATACGATGGACTACAGTGCAAAGTGGTGCATGGAGGACAGCTGACAGATGCATTTCCAGTAAGGACCGGAGTCAGACAAGGCTGTCTACTCTCTCCATTCCTCTTCCTTCTAGTGGTTGACTGGATTATGAAGAATTCGACATCTTACGGGAAATACGGAATACAGTGGACAGCTCAGTATCAATTAGATGATTTGGACTTTGCAGATGACCTAGCCCTCCTCTCTCATACACACGAACAAATGCAGATGAAGACAGCAAATGTAGAAGCAGCCTCCGCATCGATAGGCCTCCACATTCACAAAGAAAAAAGCAAGATTCTCAAATGCAACACGGAGAACACCAACCCAATCACACTTGATGGCGAAACTCTGGAAGAGGTGGAAACACTTAAGTACCTGGGGAGTATCGTTGATAAACAAGGAGGATCGGATGCAGATGTAAAGGCGAGGAATGGCAAAGCAAGGGCAGCATTTTTACAATTGAAGAACATATGGAACTCAAAACAACTCTCAACCAATTTCAAGGTCAGAATCTTTAATACGAACGTCAAGACAGTCCTACTGTATGGAGCTGAAACATGGAGAACTACTACGACCATCATCAGGAAGGTACAAGTATTTATAAATAGTTGTCTACGCAAAATACTCAACATCCACTGGCCGGAAACTATCAGCAACAGCGTTTTATGGGAGAGGACAAACCAGCTTGCAGCTGAAGAGGAAATTAGGAAAAGAAGTTGGAAGTGGATCGGACATACATTAAGGAAATCACCAATGTGCATCACGATTCAATCCCTAACTTGGAATCCGGAAGGGAAGCGGAAAAGAGGAAAGGCCAAAGAGCACACTACGCCGGGAAATAGAAGCAGATATGAAAAGGATGAACAGCAACTGGAAAGAACTGGAAAGAAAGGCTTAGGACAGAGTTGGATGGAGAATGCTGGTGAGCGACCTATGCTCCTCGATGAGGGGTAACAGGCGTAAGTAAGTAAGTATAATTTCTAGGCCGCCTAATGATTTCTTTATAAGCGAATCCACCTACTAATAAGAACTTTCCATGAATTTCCTGCATTATACACATGTACAATACAAACAACTCATCACATCAGTTATTTCATATGAATAAAACTGTACATGTTTTGAAAATGAAGTCAACAAATAGGTTTCTTTTGTGAAATACCTGTTTCTTGGCACAGTAGGGATTATTAATTTAATCATAGAAATTTCGATTCCAAAGAATACAGAAATTCAGAATCATTAAATTGAAATAATTTTGTTTGCGAATATTTAATAAAGAGTCTAATGTTATTCATTCTGTTATATACTAGGGAAAAAGTAAGTACTGAAAACTTACGGGACCTCTTATTAGACTATTAATCTATTTATATTCCTATGGTATAACTATTCAGTAACTGGATTATCTATGTCTATATTCATCTTATTACTAGCTTCATTTTGACCTATTGATTATTATTATATGATTTATTGTTCCTAAATTATACTCGGTTTATTGAGTACTGTCTCCCACGCTTCCAGCCACGTTTGACTTGATTTTGTACAAATATTATTTTCTATTTTATGGGTGGTGTGGTCTGCCTGTTTGGTATATAGACAATGTTTGAAATAAACGATTCACATTACAGCAGCTGCTATTGGTGTTTTGGACTCAAGTGGACGGGTTAGGCGGATAAGGACCAATAAGGACACTAGATTACTCGTATTAATCGAACGTCATTGTCACAGTGTGAAGGTCGTAGAAGGCGTATTCTATTGGTGGATAATTTACGCGGATTACGTCCTTGTTAAATTCGTAAGGTCATGACAAATCAGCGACGACCTTCATCAAGTCATAACATTTGGCTACAGCCTAGGTCAAATACATTCTATTATAAAAAATTAAAAAGATGATAGCAAGTACTTGTAGCAAAACTACTCAATAAATGCAGAAAGTGAAATCGGAAGACTACAACAAATAATTAGTCATTTTTATTTGGTAAGTGATATATAAGCGTGTACATTAAAGATTCCATCCTAAAATGTCATTTGAATTACATGAATTTAAATAATAAATGCGATAACCATTCAAGTACTTACAGAGATAGTTATAAAACGTTTATCTTTGAAGAGGGTTTTTTTAGTACATTTTGGTTCCCATTAGAATGAAATTAATTTCTATGACGATTTTTTGATGAAAAAGCCTAGCTCTAATCATATGCAATATTAAGGTCCCTCAAAGGGGACAGGGTAGATGTTCTTGATGTCAACCACTTAGGTTAAAACTTGATTATCTCGTCATTCTATTTATACTGGGAACTGATTAAAATATAAAAAATAAAACCACATCAAGTAGGATTAGATTCTTTTAATACAATAGTTCAATTTGATCTGCAACCGTAACTTATTGAAACCTGATTACCTGTTGGGATGTTTCATGTAATTTATCGATGTACTAAACATAACAGTTAGTTTATATCAATGTGTTCTTTCATTATTTTGATAAATTATAAAGTGGTAGTGAATCGTCTCGAAAAAAACTATTGTGACACAATACGGGTTGAGGAAAGTGGTGACAATAATAGTTGAAACGAAAATAAAACACAGATCTAAAAGCACACATTACCTCCGCTTTTTGGTAATTAATAAATAATCACTAAATAGAAATAGAGTTGCTATTGTTGCTTTGGATTTACGAATACTGCTGAAACGACGGTGGAACCCACTACCCTGTACATTGGTCATTGTTAAAAGACGTAGATCACCTTCTTTTACAAGTGTCCGACTTTCCGTAGCCAAAGACTTTTTTACGAGTAGCCATACATTAAATGTAGATGCAAAAATGGATAAAACCAATAAATATGGTCAAGTATTGGAAAACAATCGAGGTATGTTTATTAGAAATAAAATATGAATTTTGTTCCAAAGAAATGAACGTTGAGGTTTTAAGGTGTCTGGTATATATGACATATAGAAATGACTGTTAAACAAAAATGTTATAAAATTTTAGACAAGATAAAGATGGCGTAATCACTCTTCGAAGGAACTGTAGATTTAAAAGCCCTCTGTTATAGTACTACTGGTAAGAAGACATAATGACAAGTGAACGGTATCAACAAAATTTCGTTGTCACATACGTTGGGTCCTTTTTGCGTGTCTTGTACACGTTACATACAGATGGTCAAAAATTCCAAAGTATATTCAGGATACGATTTTGCAGGATTCAGCTCAATATACAAACATAAAAAGATGGTATGAACGTGGGTGTGCGGTTTTATTGGATTGTTAATAATCAATCTAAGATACTACATTATCAGTTACAGAGGTTATATATATATATATATATATATATATATATATATATGGATAGGTATAAGAAACAAGATTGATAATGCTCAAATAAGTAGAAGAATATCAGAATAATAGTTGTTTCATAAATATTTACACATGGCGTCCTGACATGTGTCCTGATGTATACCAGATATTACGGGCAGGAGGAACTCATAAAACGTTTTTAATAATTTATTATAAATATTTCTTGTTTAGATTACTTTATTCTTTAAGATTAGAGTACTATTTTTTAAGGATTAAAATTATTTTCCTACTTTTTCTTGTTTTGGAAAAAACGGATTCACAGTGTATAATTTTATTTATGGTAGATATGTGATTAATGTTTTTGTAAACAAATTCAACTAATTCGTTTGATTAATAAATAGGATTTACCTTTGCATCATACTTGTATTCTAATCTCCTACAAATTTCTACAAGACGTTCTTTTTGTTCCATACGAGCTTTTTCTGAATCACATTTACTTATAAGCTATGAGTAAAAACAAAATAAAATGCTAAATTACTTAGAAAATCATAGAGTAGTCAGGTAATTAACAAAAGAAGATTAGAGCAAAAATGTTTTATGTTGAGATTATTCTATCTAATTATTCCATCAATTTAACAGTCAATTGAAATATTTTAAAAGAAAACTTGATTATCTGACTTACAGTTTGGAACAAATTACTTTCCGTGAGCACATTTTGCAAAGATTTCGTGACTGACCATCGTTAAACGTTGTATGTATAGCACTGATCATTTCACCATTCAACCATCAAGTTGGTTTAAAATTATTTCTTTATTTCAATTAATTTAATATATTTTTCAATTTCTGCTGTGTCTAAACATCTTGCACACTGACAAATATTTGTGACAAGTCACATAACTTGTTGAAGGAGAATTAATCTATGACGAGCGTAATATTTTTGGCATTAAGTCAAACTTTCACAGTTTTGGCGGTGTAGCTTTTTGACATATCATTAGTACAAGGTTTTGCATATTTTTGCTGGATAAGGTGATCGGTTACAAAGTTTAACTTTAACGATCTTCATGAATTCGTTAGGAACTTATTATAAGTCAATACTCTTAACTTTGACCAGTTGCAATCTAAAAACATCAATGGGAATATTCAAACAAACAATACTAAATGAATTTAAACTTCATCCCATTGCACAAGCAAGTGGCTATCAGGACTCAGTAGCTGGGTGGATAACGCGATGGTGTTTGAAGTACTGGGTACTGGGTTCGAGTCCCAGAGTGAACATCAAATCTGAGATGCAGGTACATCCAGCTGACGAGTCCCAAATAGGATGAAACGCGCGTCCTGGATTCCACTGCTAGTCACTATCCATTTTTGCTCACCATACTTGTGAATTTAGGCTATATAAAGGCAATACGCACAGTATGCACATATGCCAATTAGAGACTGACCAGTTGCAGTCCTAAAATCATCAATGGGAAGATTCAAACAAACAATACTAAGTGAATTTAAACTTCATGTATAGTTTATTTGTTATTACTGTATCACTTTATTATATTAAACTAATTAGGTTCACGTTTTACTGTATAATAATTCAAACAACATGGAAATTGATGTGAACATTACTTCTCTACTGATAGATTTACAAGTGTCATACAAATCAGTTTCATACAGTTAGTTATATCTGTGCTAATAAATGAATAATACATTATAACATAAGAACAGGAAAACGTATGAAAAATCATAAATCTGTCCTTTTTTAATTTATTAAATGTATTCATGATCAATCTGAAGCAAATAACTAAATCTGTTACTTTTCGAAGTTTCTTTTACATGTGGTATTCTCTGTTTTACATGCATTATGATTCTATATCAATAAAATTACCATTAAGAAACCTTATATTAATCAAAAGCTGACAATAAACTACACACGAGTGTTTAATTAGATTTTGACACTTTATTTTATTTGAACACATAAATTTTGCCACATAAATGTGCCACACAAATCTCATCTGATTTGTGTGAGGGCTGTGATACTGCCCAGGTGCCCAAATTGAAGCAGGTGATTTTCTTAGGGAATGACAGTTATACGTTGAATAATAAATTTCAATGATATATTATTGTATTGCTTCAGTTAGTTAGTTGTTCGAAATAATCAGTGCCCATTTTAATGTTCAGTACTAATAATAAGATTATTTAATTTTACTATGATTGAGTTTGTTTTCTAAAATATTTTAAATCAATAACAATGTGACACACAGAATTTGATGTTCTTTTAGTTATCGATTTGGTATTCGTATAACGTTTATAACAAAAAAATATTTACCACACTACTTATCAAAGTAAAAATACCAACAAAGTTTTTTTTACTGAAGTCAAATAAATTGTTACCACAAAAGTTAATATAATATATGCTTTGTTGCCGTTTTCTAGTAGAATTCAATATTTAAATGTTTAAGCTGTAATTGAGACGAAACTTTTACCCTTTTTATTTTCAAAACAGTGTAAAATTACTGATTTATGAGTAATATTGTGAATTGATGAAATTAGAAACAATAAAATTTCATGTACACATAAAAAATCTAGAAATTACTTTTGAAATAATCAATTTGGATACCTATATCATTATCATAAATGAAGATCAGAGATGCCGCATTTTTTTACTGTTTAACAAATCATTTATATGAAATACTGTTTTTGAATATACTTAAAACATTGAGAAGTATAATCCTGACTTCCGAGTTCGAAATAATAATAATGATAATGTATCTGTCAGTGAACTGTTATGATTATTGTTTCATGATCTTGAATATTGATCATATATGATTTAAAACTTCTCAGTGATATAGAAACTGATCGTTGACCTACACATAACTAATTTAGCGTGGATAAGTGTCCCGTTGACAATCAATCAGTTACCAGAATAGAATCGTTGGATTTGGTGAAATTACAAACCAACCTGAGTTAAATAACTATTAAAGTCATGAAAGTACTGGATAGCTGTTTTATTCCACTATGGGACTTCTCACTGATGCACATCCACGACCTCATCACCGAGTATTGGACCCAGTACCTTCGGTCTTGCTCAAAAACGCATAACATCTAGACTGTAGCCGGAATCCAGTAGTGCTGTTGTCCAACTTCAATCATTCTACGACGTTACTCGACTATCCCCTAATGTCTTCAGTGCTTTCAGGTTTTCAGCGATTGTTTAACTTTGATCGGTCAGTGATTTCAACTAAAATTACTCAATTATTTTACAGAACAGAAAGTTTCCTACGGGTACTTTTCCCTTTAGTGGACAATTACGATTGAGTATTTGTGATAATAATTGTGTAAATGGCGTAAATGAACAAATTTTTGAAAACTTAAGAAACACTATTTTTACTTTTGAGATTGTCATTATTATTAGTGGTTTTATCCCATATTATATTTTTGGTACAATATAGAATTTTCAGCAAAATGTGTTTCAACAAGTTTCTTTTACAAAAAAGAGGAAAAGTGGAAAAACCGATAACTGCATACATATTTACATAAATTCAATAAATAAACTACCCGAAATAAAAGGAAATGATTTTTTTAAGGAAGATTTGAATCTATACAACTTTTCCAATTAGAAACATGTTTTAGAACACAAGTTATTGACTAAATCAGTTCTAACAACTTGTTCATCGCATCGTATATTTGTTAGATGAGGTACTGTAAAGCTTTTATACTCATAAAGAGGTTGTATGCTTTTGGGATTACGTGACATTTACTCTTACAATTTGTCAATTCCTAAATATTACCTATTATTCTCAGATAAAACAAGTTTTATAGGATTCCAACAGGGTGTTTAGGTGTTGTTGGTGTCTCAGGCTAAAGTTAACAGTTTGACGTTTAGACGGATTAAGTTTGATACTATTAATGGCGGACCACCATTCAATACGAGACAAAGACTCATTTATTTCAAAGGGGTTCTAAAGAGGTAGAGATTAGCATACATACAGTGATTGTCCACATATTTAACAAGCGTTTTCTGTGGAAGATAGCAGATCATGCAAAAAAAGAGAAAAGAATAGAGGAGAGAACAGCTACTTATGGTACACCTCCAAGAAACAGTAGAGACGTTTAACACTTTCCTCCAAACATAGTGTACTGTTTTCTCCCAGAGAGGTAGGAACATTGTCAGATGGTTATTAAGCTGTCAGTGTTGATGCTGATTAACCTGTTAATTAGAAGTTGTCTTGGAATAGAGTCAAAGGCAGAAATATATTCCAGAAAAACGCATCGAACAAACCTCTTATCCTTTTCCAAGCTGAACATTATATTATAATGCTGAGCAACAGCAGCATCTAAGGTACCTCTTTTTCATTTGTAAACAAACTGATACTGATCAATTTGTTCCTATTGTACAGGTTGAAGTGGGAGTAGCAATAATTTTTCCATTAATTTTGGGAAAGATGAAGTTATTGCTATGGCTCTGAATTTCACATTCTTATCGCCAGATACTTTCTTAGTTATTGAGGTTATCTTAATCTTTCTTCACATTTGCAGTATGAGATTAATTGTGAAGGATTCGTTAAAGATGCTCGTGAATGGATAATGCAGAAATTCAGCATGCTTCTCAAAAAGTAGGTTTAGGATTTGATCAATTCTTAAACAACGAGATGAAGTAAGTGACTGGAGACTTTTTCGGACATCAGTTTTAGTGAAAACCGGAACACAATTATTCTTCAAACCCGTGGATATAGGAAGCATGACATCAGATGACTGACGCACAAAAGACTTATTTAAGTCACAATCATTCAGCTGCTTATCGCTTCTAATGTGTCTCTCAAATGTAAGCTCTTTAAGTAGTTTCCGCATACTTGAATAGTTTTTAGAAGACAGAAGTTGCTGAGTAAACATTGTGTTCAGACGTCTGATTTCTGGGTTTATTAGACCATTTAGTTTTCGAACTTCACATGAGTTTTTCTTCTTGTACATTCTTTCTCTTACCCTACGTACTCGTTTTTGTTGTGAGATGTCAGTCGATCTGAACTCACAAAAATGGTTTCAGTGGAACAAGAAATATCAATGCAGAATTTAAGATAACAAGCGATAACACCAATAGTGTTTTCCAATGAGTTATCTGTAAATAATCCCCAGTTAGTCGTACGAAACACGTTTTTCAGATTTTAGATATTTTCTTCTGAGTAATTCCTATACCTGACTTTCTTTGTCTGACATTAGAGTGTACCATTTCCAAGCCTGCTATACACTTTAGGTAGAACACAAATTATACAAAGATCAGAACTAGACGACGGAGCACGTTTAAGAGTCATATATTTCCACATCAATAATGAAAACTAAGTCTTAATGGTCATTCAAGCGAGTAGGAAAATCTACTGCATTTTGGTGACCTAGTAATGAGAGGAAGCTACAGTCACGTGAATCAAAATCACAGCATGTAAGTGAAAGCGAATCATTGAAGACAGTAACAGCAAATTCAGTGAATTCACTAGCGAGGATAGTGCAGATGGTGTGCAGTTCGGAGTGACGCAGATGTTGGTAACATAAACATGATTGTATTTATTCAAGTGTTTTGGACGGCATCTTAAAGTTAGACAGTACATAAAGTCATTTGACAACTTGAAACATTCAAAAGTAGATCAACGCTATTTCACGTTTACATACGTAGCTACACCACCACCACATCTCTTTTTATCGTTTGATCGATCCTGAAGATAGAAACTAAAACCATGTATTGATACTAAGCAATCGTTCTGTAAATTACTTAACCAGAATTCTTGAATTGTGATGACAGCACAATTACGATACATGTTTTGACTTGGTAGGAATCGGAGATAGTCCACCTTGTTAATTAGTGATCGGCAGTTAGAATTCAGCAGCTCAAGAATCGACATTTCATTAATGTTCATTCTCTTGAATGCATATTGCCAACCACTACGATGTCTCTTATTGTACTTTTATGTAACTTGTAAAGAGATAGGTCGTAAGCTTTTCATAAATGCACTTGAATAGGTTAGGTGATTAGTAAGTATAGTGTGTTAAAACAAAATAAAAAAGATAACTTGTGTAAAATATTTAGATGAGAGGAACAGGTAGCATAGATATTCAAGCACGCCTGCTCACTCTATAAAGTAATCCTACAATTAGATGATTGTTTAGGGTCAGATAGTTACAAAGGATCAGTAAATAGCCAGATAGACACTGTTAATCTTACCAGTTCTCTGAAAAATTGAGTTTTCCTAAAAAATTATTTAGTGTTTTTGTTAGTCAACGTACTAGTCTAATGAGGCTTTTTTGTCAATTTAAAAGCATACTAATTTGTTCGAACCTTTAACCTTAATTAGAGCAACAGTAATTAAATTCATTGATTACAAGAAAGTTTAAGGAATGCAAAACTAGCAACATAAATTGTTTTGTTAAAGAAAATAGTTGTGTCTTCTAGTTTGATCATCAGATAATCCTGTATATGTTTTGTTGAGAAATAATAGACCGTAAGAAGGTTGGAGGATCTGGCTGCACCATTTGATTAGTGTTTGATATGCTATCATTCTGAAAGATATCACGTAGTATTCATAAGATTCAATAAAACTTGAAATATTTTAAATTGGAATTTATAAATATTTACAGACACTGAAATTGGCCTAAAAGTTTCATGGTATTTAATAGTTTCTAATTTAAATCTAACGTCATTGGTAAAAGTAGTGTATATTCTTAAACTTACTTTTTCTATGGATGCAAGGGCTACCAAACCACTTTGATATGTAACACCGTTTTTAGGAGCATAATGTAAGATAGCAGTCAATAAAAGACGTAAGCGTGTAACACGTTGCATTGGAAGTAATAGGAAGGAATTGAGATCTAGGAATCCACAACTTGGTTGTTGCTGTATTGAGCGAACAACTTCTACAAAAGCAGGAGAAGATCTAAAACAAAATTGTGTAAGTTAACTTTACAAAGAGATTTGAAGTGTCATATAGAAATTTCCCAGTAAAATTTGATTTTCAAACGGAAAAATTAACATTTGTTTCTTGGTATTTTAATTGTGCTGTTAGTAATGCTTTAGTTTATTTATTTATTTGAACACATAAATATTGATAGAAGAGGGCACCAAATACATATGCGCCACACAAGTCACTTGATTTGTGTGTGGGCTGGGATACTGCCCGGGTACCCAGACCGAAGCAGGTGGTTTACTTAAGGGGCCACACCTCGAGCCATTGACCTAAAGTTCTGATCCACAAGACAGTGGAGCGACGTCAGGAGATGCCGTCCCATGGTAGCCGGTGACCAACAATTAGTTCATACGCCAATTGTTCCCTCAGGATCCTGGAGGTTATGTGCACCATCGGTTCGGAATCAGTGTTTTCCAACTCCTTCAAGTGGGTTTTCTATATCCACCAACCCGGATAAAGCACCGGAAATTCGCTTTTCGTTCTCTTAATTTCTTAAACAACAGTAATACCGTGGGAAGGCAGAGAGTAGGACTTCCCTGACATTGGCTGTATACGCATGGTCATGTGAGAGTATTTCGAGAGGGAGAGCTGACTCTCCCCACCCTCGGATGTTCCGGGGCATTTGTGTTTACACACATTTCAGTTTAATTTTACAAAGATAATCTGTTACCTAAGAAAGTGACAGGTTATATATAGCAAGTGTTTCGTTAGGAAAGTAAAACTATTTAAAATTTGATACTTTTTTGATCAGCTTTTTGTGGGGTACCTAAAATGATAGAATTTATATTAATGATGACTTACAATAATTTCGTTAATGTTCTTAATTGGTACATTTGGTTTTGTACATATTTCACATAGTTTTCGAAATGGTTCTCTGTATGTTCATAAATAATTTCACATAATTGAGGTATCAGTGGATTCTGAATAAAATATAATTCCATGTCTCGAAGAAATCTAAATAATTGTGATAAACAAAACTTCGACTAAAATGCTGAATCGGATTTTTAAGAAAACTAGCAAATCTAAATGGAAATATGAAGGCGGATTTATTATATACCACAATAATTAAATCATTTAGAATATTTGTCGAAATAATAAAAAGAATATACAAAATTTGAACGAACCATTAATTTGTTACATAATTTTACACTTTACCTATTAATGCTGTGCGTTACTTATTAGTAGTTTCATGCATAATGGAAAAAATAAATGTATTCTTAATATCGTTTACAATCGATCGAAACTATTGATTAATGAAAATAAGCTAATAGAGTTTGCTTGATACATTATATTTAATTCATCTAATGGCTCACAAACCTAAGTTTTTCAGCAATGACTAATTGGTTTGAAGGTCATAATTATAACAGGAATCTTCTGATCTAAGTAAAAACTTAATAGTTGAATTCATGAGTCAATTGAAGCTAGACCACCATGAAAAACCTGGAAGTACTGGACGGCCGTTTCGTCCTCGTGTGTAGCTCTTCAGCGGAGCGCATGCGCGACCCCACCATGCGAGACTCGAACCCAGGATCTATCGGTCGCGCGTGGACTCTTAACCTCTGGAGCATTGAGCCGCCATCCAACGGTGTTAATGTCTAACTTCAACCAATCCACGGAATTTAGCAACCGTTCACAACTGTCTACAGTGGGTTACTATATCACAACAGACTTGATTGAACTCCACTGGTCACTGCTCCTCACTAGAGCGACTGGAAATACCTCTTGAAGCCATTCACTAGCTTAAATTGACTCATGAACTTAACTATGAAATTACAATAATATCAACAAAAACCCCTTTCATAGGCTGATTAAAAATGTTGTTTAATATTGTCAGTTTGGAGATTTTTGGAGACTGTTATTATTAGTATATCTTTCTACTCGGTTATCCAAAATAGAAGTGAAGAACAACAGTAATTTTCAATGGAGAAACTCTCACTTATCACTATTATTTCTGAGGAGGGTGAAGTATTTCTTCGATTGTTATCAATGTGTGATGTTGTTGGAAACCCACAGTGAGAACTTAGTCAACCTATCTAGTGATTTTATAACGAAAAGCTCAAGGGTTGAAAAAATGTTAGACTTCATCCACTACTTAAATTGGTAACTTGAAAACAAACTGAAAACGAAAGATGTAGATCAGCTCAAATTTATCCTAATCCATGTATGCCTTTATAAACCATTCACATGTGAGTTTAAAATTACCCAAAAATTTTCTAACTGGTTGGAAGACTTTAGTGAAATCCTTTCAACTCATTCCTTCTTACTCGTAAGTTATTTTACGTCTGTTGGTTGTTGATTAATAATCAGACTTTTCCAATCGTTTACATTGGGTAACAAAATACAAAATCCGACGTTAATTAAATTATTTCGAATGGTTTCTCCAATAATAGGTATTAGACAAAGGATAAAGGATTTAATCACATGAATATCTGAAAGAACTAAGAATAAATATTAATCATTATTTTATTCAGTGTTACATATTCCTGGGAATCTAAAAGTTATCATGAAACTTTCAATATTCATTAACTGTTATTTCTCAACAAAGCATGATCCTAAGATTTTCATAAGATTCGCAAATAGACTTTAGAACTCTAAATGACAATCCATACAAGTCTTCAGTGCATTCAACCTAGCATTCAAGGAAAGTGAAACCAAAAGTCGACGAATTATATGGTAGATATTGTCACTGATTATCTGAAGGGTCGAAATTGAAATTTCGACGACGAATGCCACCAATCAGGTCCCATTATTTGAAAAGATTTGTAAAGTGATCATATAGAATGACAGAGATATGTACCATTTTGCTCTTTTTTTCGTAAGAGTAGTGTGAAAATCAATTCCTAAGATCAGACTGTATAAATGATCAACAATTTTTATATGTAGTTCATCAAGAAAAAATTTGGATATAATTCCTCAATGTGCAAGAATAAAAATCAAAATGGTAAAATAGAAACCCGTATTTGAACTTACGTTTCACTTGTGAAAAATATTTCCGATATATTTGAAAATAAGTGTCGTTTCTCGATAGCTGTTATAACAGACGTTTTGGAATCTGGCTGCATACACGGAGCTTTATAGAACTTTTCTATTAAAATATGCAGGGTTCGATAGTAAGACGCTTCTGACGTTATAACTTCAAACAATGCCTGAAAAAGGGAGATAATCATTTCGGTATTACGAATTAGAAGGATGAAAGAGTCCATTTTTCCTTTATTTAGCAGTGACAAAAATAACACTAATGTTTTTATACAACAAGAAAGTTATATAACTTTTAAAATTCTAAACGCTAAACTTGAATATTTGCTTTATATGAGTCAAATACTACCAGTTATTTTATTAATTTCAAACGTCAAATGAAAATCTTTAGTTCCAATTGTTTGGGAAAGGTAATTACTTACTTTCGACTTTACAGAAACAAGCAACACTAAGGGTCATTTTTTAAATCAAACTGTTACTGAAGTCGAACAAATAAGTCAGCTGGGTCTTTCGATACAGTAACACCAAGAATTCATATTTATATGACCGATTTTGTTGGGTGATTGTATGAAATGAGATGATAAACTAGTACTTGTATAATGTTTAGACGATTGTTTAAGAGTAACGTATATTGTCACTCGTGATTTCGAAATAGGATTGCAGGTTGAAAAAACTCCCACTCGGTAATCTATGCTTATCTTAACATTTTTATTCCCTATAGTATTCTGTTTTCCTAATGTTACAGAGTTGCAATATTAAGCTGTGAAATATTTAACCGAAACCAGAATATTACACATAATGAATGTTGTTTGTTAGGTCACTATTTGAATGAATTGATTCCGACTCTATATTTTGATAAGTAGCTGGCTTTATATATATCAGTAGTCAGTAGTCTGATTTGATATTTAGTTACTTAGGAATTTCACTTCATATCAAGTGGTTATAAATGCAACTTTCTGTTGTGTTCTTCTGATTTATGATTTTGTATGTGTCCATGTTTCGTTTCGAAATGTCAAGCAACATAACTTGATAGTATATAAAAAGCATTCCAGTCTTTTAACTGTCATTTAGGATGGAAATCACCATGTAATATAACAAGTAATAAGATTCCGTTTTTTGAACGGTTCTTAATTCAACATGTTTTTGTGGTTTATTAGCATCAGATAATCGTGATTTTACCGTTGTTTTTACAATCGATTTGCTCTCGTAACAGAAAATCATGATCAGAACTTTAAAGTATACTAGTAGAAGCATGACAATTTTGATTTTTATCATTGACTGTGTACATCAGAGAAATGAATGTTAGTTAGTCTATTTTAATAGGGTCATATTAATTTTATTTAAACACTTATTCCATTGGGATATGCTTAAAACCAACTGAGAGATTCTTAGCGGTTATTTGTCATTGCGAACTTGTGTTGTAATTAAAATGTAGTGTATTGTATAGTTCAAATAATAAGAAAGCGGAGCTAATTCGTCACTAGATATTTTACGCAATATTTAGTCGTTCGAAAAAGTTGGACGTACTATTTTGAGTAGTTAATAATTTAGAGTGTTATTATGGTTACTAATTGATACAGAGGGTAGGACAGCCAAAGAGCAAATGATAGTCTCATGCTATTGGCCAAGATTTAGCTTTCTCCTTTAAGGAACAAAATGCTCGTTATTTTCTGAATATATGGCTTAACTGTCTAAAGGATTAAATATATATTTATAACGATTCAACTATCTAATAAAGCATCATTCTCGCTCGATTATTTTGTTTTGGATCCGCACACAGGAAGCTTGTATATTGGTATCAGAACCAGATACGGAACTACAAGAAAATAATGGTCAGCGCAAATAATAAGGTAATCAAAACAGACCTCTTGCAACTTTTTCTGATAATCAGGTAGGTCCCTAGCCAAGTCTGCGCTGATCACTTGAGGCATTTCAGACCACTGTACACGATTAGGTCCAGTTCCAGCAACTTCATTCACGAAATTCTGAACTTCTTGAGTCTGTCTACGCGGCTTAGAGGCAGAACTTTGATTTTTACTTCTTTCACCAGTATTTGAACTTGAATGAGTCCGCTTAAATGAAGAGGTTTTTAGTGAGTCACTATTCCTTGATCTGAATGAGGAAGAGCCGCTATTCTGTAGACGAAATAGTAAATCTCTTCGCTCAGAATTTTTCATATGAATTGATGATTGCTGACTATCAATCAAACTACCGGGTACTTTTTGTGAATACTGGTTATTTGAATCGGATTCATCACCATCTATTGCAGTGAATAATTCATCATCAAATTTTAAATTATTTGATGGATTATCCAAAGAGCCAGGTTGAACGAGAGCTAAACAATTTAACAACAGTTAAATAAGGGTTTTAAAGAAACAAGTAATTTATTTTTCTGAATGGATAAAAAATTCAATTGTTCGAAAAATTTATTGAGCACATAGCATTGATACATTCATCAACTGCGTTTCACATTTTCTAATCCTCTTAGAAAGACTTTTTATTCAATTAAGCTTCTTTATATACCTTGTATAATTTAGTATGTTCAAGTATATATAGACTGCGACAGGATTTAAGTTATAGTGTCCATTAACAGTATATTTTTACATGTCACATAAACGTCTTCCTAATATATGTGAATATACATGTAATCGGAATGAATGTTCATTAACAAAAATAAAAGAATCTATTTGATTGATTAGATTATTGATAATAAAACATGTGACTTTATATCTACGAAATTAAGAAAACCATTAGGAATAGGTGACATGAGTGGAAAAAAATATAACGGAACAAATGGTTCGCATATAATGGTAAATAGATGATAATTAATTCCAAATAAAAAAAACAGTTAATTATCTAATTATTCATGGTACGGATGAATATAAAGTTATAATAGGATAAAACAGTTCATTTATAAGTGAATCGGTTCGTTTTATATCTTGCTTATAGAACGTTCATTAAGGCCTAAAAACTATGTTAAAATAAAGACGACAATTTATTGTCAATAAAAGGTTTTGAGTTGCGTGGATAGATGAATTTTTGCTGAAAAATTAATTTATTCTTATTATCAATTTCTCAATAGTCTTTTGTTTAATTAGTTGATAACAGCAGTGATGTAAGCTGTTCACAACAGAGAATAAATAGTTGTTCAAACATTAATTAAATCCTTAAAAATTATCCCTTTATCTCTTGATGAATAGAGTGAATGTCACAGGTAATAATATTAACAATGATAACAATAGTAATGTGTTATTCAAGCAAATTGATTTCAATAAAAATGCATAAACCACTAAAAATCAAAGCGACAATATAAATGATTTTTGTAAATTTCAGTACTTAAGCTTAAATTATTATAAGTTTTGAAATATAATTAAAAATATTTCAAACGCTATAGACGAAGAAATTAATGAATTATATGACGGATTGTTATCATTGAGCTTATTGTATAAATATATGCGTCCATATATTGAAGTGAACGCAGACTTGATGGGGATAAATAATTTATTATTTATCAGAAGGGGGTTTTGTGGAGGTTTTAGTAATTTTCTGTAGTTGAAATCATGGGTCAATTGAAGCTAGACCACTATAGAAAACCTAGAAGCATTGGACGGCCATCCCACAATAGGACGAAACGGCTGTCCAGTGCCTTCACGTTTCCATGGTGGTTTAGCTTCAAATGATCCATGGTTTCAACTATATAAAATTTATTATTTAATGAAAAATTACAGTGTTTTCGTATAATATGGAAACCATACATTAAATACATCGTCCATCAGTTCTCCTTTACATGCTTCATGTTCCTTTCAATTCTGTTATTATTACAATTAATTTTTGTTTCCTTTTCTGTTCTCTTCACTTAAAACTTCTCAATCTCCTGCTGGTATACATTCCACTTCCAATTAGTGCTAGACACTACTTATATCTGTCAATATAGGTAGCGTACATCACAATATTTTTTTAGTCCTTTACAGATTTGTTTTTCTGTTAGCAATGCAGTGAAATAAATGTTTGGTAAAACTGTATGAGTCATGAGGTTATTCTAGTTTATTTATTCTAATAAGGGAAATAAACGACTGTCAGAGATAGTTCAATCTCAAGAGCGAAAAATAAGTCTTTGTTAGTTAAAAAAACTTACAGAAAAACGAAGAGCAGCAGATTTCATAAGTACGATGGCGGAAATGAATTATTTTTGCATATTAAAAAAGCGTTTATAATATTATATTCAGAATTTGTTACAGGCATGTTAGTTTCTTCATAAAAACAGTTGATATGTTGAGTCCTTGCTAAAATTCATTGTGTTTTGTTTGATGATATTGGACACAATAAGACGAAATTAATTATTTAACCAACTAAAACATATTTCTTTCTGCATGATGCTTTGAATACTACAGAGCCCTAAACGGTAATGTATGTACAAATTATAATAAAAGTTACTATCATTTTTCAAACTAATGGTCCATTAAGTCATTATGTATAAAACACTGATCTAAATTTTATACAAAAAAGATACGCAAAATAATACATAAGATTATTTTAATTAACCAATAAGGCTGGATACGTAAAAACTATCTAGGTAGTAAAAGCTTTACAAAATATCGATTTTTATATGCTAACTCACTTATGCTTTTCATCTTACGGTCAATAGAACATATATTAATAATATCACCGGTTCACTTTAATATTTGTACTAGTATATTAGCACTTTTCAAGGTAATTTGAAACACTTTGAAAATTCCTTGAATTTAAGATAAATTAGTTCAACTCACCACATGAATTTATTCTGCAGTGAATAAATAAATTAAAACTACGCAAAATCCTTAAAGAAATTTATTGGTTATTGAAGCTGAGGAAAAGTGTGTGACCTACTGAACTGTTCTCTAAGTAATCTGATTGTTTACAATTGCTGGAATATGATAATTTTCATATCTAAACTACCATAATGTGAGATTATTTTCTTGAAAATTGATATAATGTATAAAAAATTAACTTCCTTCAGTGTATCGTATAATGTTTGTTTGAAATTATCAATATACAATTAAATAGTTTAGTTTGATTTCATGTTCCGATGACATTTTGAATAAGAATGTGTATAATCAGGATGGAAAATGTAGTATGGTCAGCTAGGTTTTTTTTTAAAGAAAACTACGGTTGTTTTCAATAATGATATGATTGAAATATATTTAACATCCACTATAGGTATTGTGGAAAAAATCAGTGAAATCCTTCCTTTATTTTAATTCAAAGTTTAATTCACCGTGATTCACTGTTTGACAATGCCTCCTGATAGATTAAATACTGGATATTTTAAGCCTAACAAACTAGATCATCTAGTGGTATTATCCGAGATAGATATAAATTACGAGTTACTGACATAAAATTACAAATTTATTCATCTGAAAAATATGCAAAACAAAAAGTGAAAATAAGAATTACACTTGAAGTCAACTAACCTAATAGTCTTCGTGCATCACGTCTTGATTCACTGATTGACGCTTTCTCTGTATATATTTGATACAATGGAGTGTCCTGGATGATAGATTTATATTTCTGACGTTCTTCATAAGTCTTGAAGGAATCCTAAAAGTGATAAAATTAAGGCATCTTATTATTTACATATGAATTTTAAATTAATTTCTGAACGTCATAATAAATCAATCGACCGTCATTAAGAATCAACTGACGATATAAAATAAGATTTTAGAAACAAACATAAGTAAAGCTATGATATTTGTATACTAACTGAATTCGTATTATATTGAATAGTTAAATATAACTGTTAAATTTTGTTATGCAGAAGGCACATTTGATATGAATAATATTGATGGGATCATGGCAAATAATTCTACAGAAGCAGAATGCAAAAACCCGATAGGTCTTCAATGTGCAAACATTTACTTTGAATATATCGAGGAGAAATTCACTTAAATTCAATGTTATTTTGAGTACTGTAGAATATGGTTTTTGATTAGAAATGTTTTCGAAATTACATACTTGGGTTTTTGTTCACCTTAATGAAAAGTTCAATTCTGATTCAAAATGAACAGTTTCATAATTGATTGTTGAAATTTTAAACAGATCGTGGCTTTTTTGACGCGTTAGATGTTTTTCAATCAGTAAATTACTCGGTTTGCGTAACAATTCATTGAGAGGATTTGTGGCCCAGAAATACACTACAGTACAGGATTATTCAACGTTTCCTCTAATATTGAATTTATGTTTCTTAAGATCGATTTTACAGATGGATTTTTTCAAGTTTATCTTAAATTATACGGTTAACACGAAGTGTACGAACGATATGTAGCCAACCTGTAATAATAAATGTATCCTTTTCAAATGCAGAATATCCACGTTTATTGATAAAAATTGGACCTATTGTTTTAAATCTTCAATGATGGTAACATCTCCCAATTCTATGCTGAGTGGCCAACTTACAAGGAAATTTTGTGACTAAATTATCCAGTTAACAAGTTTGTGAAGATCATTTCTATTAAAACGTTTTTCATAAGGCCCTTTATCGTTCTAAATATCTCACTTTTTGATGTTAATGATCGAGGAAAGTTATCTTTAGATTAAACTATCTAATTCATAAAACTATCAACCACCAGAACTGTTCAGCTGAACAATTACTCTATCTTCATGATTTTATTCTATCTTTTAGAAATGTTTATGTTTATCAGTCAGAAGAATAATGATGAATATTATAATCCAGTTAAAAATGAACGAATTTAAATCGCTTAATCATCTCAGTTTGATTCAAGACAGTTTTTTTATCATAACTACAACTTATACCAAAAATACTAAAATTGAACAGTGTATCAGCCTCATTCATTCAATTATATTCAACCTTTGACAATTACATTATTTTTCATAAATAAATAAAATACATAATAGTCAATGTATCTTGTGAAAACTCTTCGTCACTTAGTGTGGAATAGTACAATTCAATCCTTACTTTTAATCAGTTTACGGTAAACGTATGTTTGTGATGACATCACATAAATAATTTGTTTGAAAATATAGGAAAGAAAAATATTATAACACAAAAAATGGTGAAAAACGTAGTGTTTTATCCCCATTAGTTCGTCACCGTGTTTCATTGAACAGTCCATAATTTTATTTTCGTGAAGGAAAACTGGTTAGATCTCGATGTAGTTATTTTAAGGACTTAAACGTTTGTGAACTTCAAAGTCCCGTTTTCGTAACACTGTTACTTAGTTGAATGATAACTGCTTTTGTTGACTCACTAAATTATTTATTGCTCAAGGTTTTGACGACTAATATTAAAAAAAATTTGTGATTGTATAAATCATAAATAAACGATTTCTTAAATACTGAGTCCACCATATTTTAGGTGATCGTAATGTGCATCTATTTTTTAATTCCTGTTATTAGAAACGATGAAAAGGTAATCATAAAGTTTCAAGAACGAGAAAAAGCAGTTACACAAAATTATTCCAGGTTTATAATAAGGTATATAGGTAATAGAACAAGCCACTGACAACCCCACAAGTACGTTTTTTCCGATAAATTTAAAACGTCTCTCGACCACAAATTACAACTGAATTCTTATATTGCGAACTTATGACATACTAAATATACGATAAGTGAACACTGTATCAGTTTCATTTTTCCAAGTATGGATAACCTTTGAATAAAACGTGTGGTTATTATTCTTTGTAAAATTGTTTTCTATAGTAAAGTTTATTATTAATTCAAAAAAGACAAGTGATAATAATACTGATTATTCTATGCGCTAGTAAACAAATATTTATTCTGGATGATTCATAATTATTAGGGTCAAACAACACTTGGGAAATATGATAAAAAAAATATTTGTTGGGTCACATGACTGTTCTAAATATAATTATACTGGTCGCTTAATGCGCCAAATGCTTTTATATTCGTGACATTCAGTAGACGTGACATTGTATCAGTCTAATTATGTTCTTCAAAATGACCTATCACAAAATTGGTCAATGAAAACCGTTTAAAAATTAGCACAAATCATAATACTAAATTTAACATTGTAGATGGGGAAATAAATTTTACCATCAAAAAGGTTAGTAGCAAATACAAATAATATGTACTCGAACACACAGAAACCTACCTAGAATTATGGTATCATTAAAAATGAATCTGTTAATCACAAACTGTTGATCAGTCAGGTTTATATACTTCTCTTTGATTTTCCCACAGTAAATTAGAATGCCTGTACCATTTATTTTTAATATTATTCTTAAAATAAATCTCATCGTATAGTACCACTGTCATAAATAATTATAACATCGGACTTGGAACAGATGATGATGTAGTTTCCTCAAAGTGTAGAACTGTTTCTTTTAGCCCTATATGGATTTCATATTTGATTAAGTACTGAAAGTCTCTGGAATTTCAAGTTCGTTCAATACTACATTTCATCTGTTTTCAGGAAACAGTTGTAATTAATTTTGAATATAATCAGAGATTAGATATTGGTCAAAAGTTTTGGTTTTTAGTCTCGCCAAATATCGTAGTAACAGAAAAATTTCGAATTCATTTCCTACTACCGATGTTTAAAGAAGTTTCAAAAAGGTGTTCATGTGGATTCCATTCGTCGGAAACTCGCAGTAAAACTGCCTACACATATGATAGTGCTTCGTCATATCGATTTCTGTAGACCTTTAAAACGCTGTTATAACGGTCAAAAATTATTAATGTTTCTATTACATGAGGATGATATATTTTATTGCCTGGTCAATTTCATGTTAGATTTTACTGTTTTACACACATAAGTCACAAAGTTTGTGTCTAAAAAGAGCTAGAAACTGTTTTTTTTCTTTAAATATAATCAAATCGTACCTTAGATGATTAAAAATGTTTTCGGAAAATATTATACTTACCTTTAATCTTAAAGTAGCTTCATCTGAATTATCTAAATAATCAACTTCTGTATCAGGTGACTCAGTGATTAGTTTTTGTTTATTTTCAGTATCTTTATGATTATCATTATTGTCATAATCATTATCGTTATCATTTGGTCTAGTAAAAGAAGAAGAAATTTTTGCTGGTTTAGACTTTTTACTAACACAACAAGGAAAAAGTTGACTACATAAAGACCATTTTTGACCATTATTTTTCCCTTTAGTGCTTCTCTTATCATTTTTCTTATTTACTGTTTGACATGCAGTGTGTTGAAAATCCTCATTATTATTATCATTATTGTCACTAATACAAACAGTAGTGTTCGGCGGTTGTATTGGAAAGATTTCATTATCCAATGGATTGTGTAATTTTTTCGCACTTACTATTGTTTGGTTGGATTTCTTCGATGACAAAGGTGAAGATAATGATTGGGAGGATATAGGTGACACCTGGAAAACTGGTGTATCATTTGAATTTCCTGATTTTACATACATAATACAGTACATCAACAAATGAAGTTGGTTATCTTTATGAAGCTCTCTGAGTTAATGTAAATTCTCATAAGTACTTTAAAAAATCCTACTAGCATATGAGTGATTTGTTTGAACTTTACTGGCATAAAATGTAATCCTTCTATTATAATTTCTAATGCTGTTTTTATTGCTACCGTGAGTCTTATTTTTAAATTGACGTAAATTGACCAATAATATATCATCATACATAAATGTTATGTGTAACAAGTAATTTTTGAATGTCTTTATTTGTAAGAATTCACTAAATTGATAAATCAAATCATTTCTATACGTATCACATATCATAAGTACTTATGTATATATATGTACATATAATAGCTTTAAAATGTTTGTTTGTATGCACTTATTGGCACTTTGCTTCTAGATCTTGAAATCAATAAGCAGATCAATAATCAATCATTAATAAGTTTATGTGCATGAGTTATCATACAAACAACTCTGTAAAATACCTTTGGAAATTGTTGATTTTTATGAATGTATGAGTTATCATAAATGTAACATCTGTATCATTAGCTAAAAATACCCTATCTAATAAACATCGTTTTCCTATCTCGTTTAATACACATATTGATTCCTGAAAGGAAACAACGGCTGAAAAGCATAACTTAGTTTCTCTAGTGAATCATAAGTAAGGTTAAATTTAAAGGAAACCCATTAAAAAAATCAAAACATTCTACACATAATTATTTGATTTTATATTGAAATTCAACATTTTGTAATTTACAACTAATTATTCCATAGAAATGTTCATAGAATAGATAAAATAATCAGTTGCTAGTCAGTCAGCTGCTCGAAATCGATTATTCTATTGGTAAGAGTGTGCTTCAAAATTGTGTACTAAAGTCAAAATGCATAAATGAATTTATTGATCAACCTCTAAAATTTACCGACGTTTTCTAAGTAATAAACACACACTAATACGCATTCACGTACATATACTTCACATCCATGTGAACAGTCTCTTGTTAGTTGAGAAGTATGCTTTTATGAACACACAACTAATATTGATCGTGCTTATTTACATAACCATATAACTACCTAATATATAGAATATGAAACGTAACAAAATACAACCATAAGCTATTTAAAACGTTTTATTTTGATTATTATCTTGTTAAAAATCATTAGATTTTGATTTAAGATGCTTGTCGACAAGAAACTTTATACATAGGTTAACTGCTGGTTAGCACTTGTCAGTTAGACTAGAATAAAGTGACATTTATCACTAATCAGTGATCAATGAATTTAGATATCCAATTCTGCAAGTAGTCATTCGTGACTAAAAGATTTTAGTAATAATGTATTGTGAAGCTAGGTGGTGCTGGTTCGAATCTCGCAAGAATCATCAGTTCCTTTACAGTTGCAGGTATGCCTTGCTAACAAGTGCCAACTAGTTGACCTTCCAGTGAGTGTTATACTTAACCAAATCGTAACGCCTTTAATTAAGATAAAGTTAATCACAACTCATGTTTATTACACAGTACCGAAAATTGCAGAGATATTGAGACTCAATCGACACATTAGAAAGAGAAATGATAATCAATTATGGAAAATTGATTTCGTGTTTGGTGTCCTTATACCATCGAAATCTTGCTTACTAAATGTTAATTATAATCAATTGTAACAAATATTTTCCCAACAATTTGCTATAATACATCTTTGCTATTTAGTTTTATTGATTTTGACAACACTTTCAACAATTTTGACTGTTGTAGAGTGATTTTATACTGTCTTCAAAATATATACTTGTAGTCAATCTGTTTATCTCTACTATATGTAGATTGATATGAGTAACTCAGAGGCATAAAGTGTGTTACGGACCTACAAATGTTTTCAGGAACAGTATTGCAGGCTGTTCTTAACGAATGTTTGCACTTTCCCGTCTCATCGGGCTTCTCACCTGAAAGCTCATAGAACAACTTGCATTCTCAGAAAACATAGTAATAAAGATTAGAAAACTAACAGACAGTAACAATGACTCATCTCCTCATGAACGAAGAAAGACAGTCTTGTTATCTTAAGAGCAGCATAAACTTCTCTTGTTGTAAGACCACAAACTCAGTGACCCGACCGTTGATGCTACCTTGACGTGGTGGTCGGGCTTGCCTATCGTGATGAAGCAATCGAGCTATGCTGGCTGAAACAATCGTTCCTCGAGGTCCTACCATGCCAGACAGGTCGGTTGAAGAGCGGTGAGACTAAAAGCAGCAATCCCAAGGTCCGAAAGCGAAGTCGTACTGCCGACTGTACAGAGGTGTGACGGCAGTAAGGTGTTTCCTCCAGATAACCAGCATGTCAGCGATGCTGCCTTCCCACAAGGAGGGGTGGGGTTAGAAAAGATCTACCCTCAAAATGCACACCTCGCCTTATCCCACGGATTTCCGTCTCCGGCGGTAAGGTCCCTTGAAGAACGGAGCTAACACGTCAAAAATCCCTCACAAAAAATGCCGTGCGTGATCGGCCTCAAGCAGTTATCCCTTGGGCACTGCGGTCACGCTCCCAGGTCGTTAAGACCAACACTAATCCAACTTCTTTTTCAGGTCCCTCAAGAAATATCCTTCCACAGTGTGGGCAGCCGGGAAGTGATATTAGCCCCCATACCCGTAACAGCACACGAGACCAAGTTGGCTACTTTCAAAACCTTCCTACACCTAATAACTCTATTATCTCCACGACTAACCCTTCCCACGTCCTTTTATCACCTCGCACCGCTAGGGCAAACGACTCAAGTACACGGAACGGTATTCCTGGTCTCCTGAAACCACACTCTAAACTACATATAGGGACTTTTAATGTCCGAACATTGTGCCAAATAGGACAACAGGCTTCCTTAGCTAGGACTCTAGAATCTTACACCATCGATGTGTGCTGCGTCTCCGAAACGCGCATACAAGATCCGAGTAGCGTCATTTATTTGACCTCACCTAATCAAAATAAAGAACCATCTCGATACACGCTTCGTGTATCTGGAAGCCCTGATGCTGCTTCCCGTGGTCTCGCTGGAGTAGGTATAGCATTAAGTCCTAGGGCTGAACTAGCTCTTTTAGACTGGATCCCAGTAGACAGTCGTCTATGCGCTGTCCGACTAAATGGATCAGTAAGAACTCGGAAATGTTACTTCAGGATTGGGTTGCATCGACACCTGAACTAATGATAGGGAGTGAAGTAGTTGAGCGTGTTGACAGCTTCACTTATCTTGGGAGTCTGATCAGCCCTTGTGGTCTGGTGTGTGACGAAATCTCAGCACGGATACAGAAGGCTCGTCTAGCTTTCGCCAACTTGCGTCATTTATGGCGTAGGCGAGATATCCGTCTAGCAACCAAAGGACGGGTTTACTGTGCAGCAGTCCGTTCCGTCCTACTTTATGGCAGTGAAACATGGCCGATAAGAGTAGAGGATATTCGTAGGCTACTAGTGTTCGATCGTAGGTGTTTTCGAAGCATTGCTCGTATATCCTGCGACCACCGGGTAAGTAATGCAGATGTTAGGGAACGGGTACTAGGTAAGGTTTGCAAATCGATTGATGAAGTAGTGAAACTTCATCAGTTGAGATGGCTGGGACATGTGTTACGTATGCCCAACCACCGACTGCCCCAACGTGCAATGCTTTATGATGTAGGAGCAGGTTGGAAGAAATCTAGGGGCGTCCAGACCAAAACATGGCATAAATCCATGAAGTCGCTGACAAGTGGACTGGGCCATGTTGGTAGGTGTAGACTACCTGGTTGGCGAGATGATACCAACCGATGATTAGAGACCTTGAATGATATTGCTCAAAATCGTTTGCAGTGGTGAAGGTGCATTCACTCTTTGTGCTCTACCTAATTCTAATCTTCTGAATTCCACATGCACCTATCCTTCTTCTCTTTACAAATTTCTCTTCACTGAATTATACTCCTTCATTAACATCTTCAAACCCTTATCTTACACATAATACTTATACTCTTACTACTTCTACCAATATGGGATTTGAATCGACAACTTCATCTTTGTGCTGATGTGGTATGGCAACTCGAACTGATGTACGTAGTACGAAGTTCTACGTTGTAACTGACTGACAAACTCAGTGACATGGCAGTGTCGATAAAGCCTGATTAGTTCTTGAGAAGAAAGATAAAAGGATAGGAAGCACTGGTATGTTCAAAAAATAGATACTGGAATAATCCGAATATTTCTTGACTCATAGGTATTTAAATGATTAGATATTGCAAATTCATGCTAATCACACCTATGTGAATGGTCTAGTGAATTGAAAATGTTACACACTTATTACTCATTACTTGTAGTTTTGGAAATATACCTAATGAACATTGATCATTGTTGAATGAAATTCATCCAGTCAAAATTATTCCCACTGAAACATGGTTTCTCTCCAACTTAAAGTTCAAACAAATGTTATTTTTAAATAACAAGTTAGATAAACAGACAGCGACTAGACGCAGAGGAAGCTTAGTATTGCATTTAATCTAAGATCTATGTTAGTTGAAATTCTTTAGCAAAGCATATCTTCAACTTTGAGGCAGCTGATCTCCCCTTTGAATTGAGTTCAAAAGCATGATAAAACCCCGACTAATTCCCTGTACGCTGACAAATTTCTCTGTTGTGAATGGTGATATGAGCTAGGAACTTTCTCAGAGGTAGGCATTTACACTAATGCCTCATAATTTGTATGGTCTTTTAAAGTCGAACTCCAAATAAACAATGTAACTAAAGAACTTGCAGGATAAGATTAAACTTAAAGGTTCAGGTAGCTCAGAACTTATTATAAAGCTCTAACAGTGTATTCGGGAACATGAGCAGAAATGAAGTTGTTTGTTTTATTTTACTTCATATAATTCATTTTCATGGGTAAATTGATGAAAAACTTACAAATAACGATAAGGTAAAACAATTATTAGTATATGTTTATGGAGATTGTCGAGTTTTAATTGAGATCATGAACCGATCAATGTTAGACCACCACTGAAAACTTGGAAGTCCTGGACGGCTGTTTCGTCCCAGTATGAGACCCCATAGCAGTGCAGGCAATATCATGGATTGGTCTAAGTTAGATATTGACACATTTGGATGCCGGTTCGGCAGTCCAGAGTTTAAGCATCCGCGCGCAAGACCAAAGGCCTTTGGTGCGAGTCCCATGTGAGGGATCGTTGATGATCATTACTGAGGAGTCCATTACTATGAAAAATTGTCGTACAGTGCTCCCATGTTTTTAGTGGTGGTCCAACATTGATCGGTTGGTGATCTAGATTAAAATAAAAAGACAATGCTGATTGGATTAGGATACCGTCTATCAGACCAAATTTAGATGTCAAATAACAAAACAACTTAAATGATGAAAATCGAAATAAAACAGAGATTTTTGATATTGGCTACGAATTGGCTACGAATTCATGGGAAATAATATTTTATGAGGATTTGAAATGCTTTCTTGCTATCTTACTTTTAATATTTTTGTTTTAATTTCCATCAATAACCAACTAAATAGAGGATATTCTCAAAGTTTCAAAGTTAAAATCGAATTTTCGATATCAATTTTTTACTTCACAAATATAAAACCACGCTGTCACATTTTATACTTCAGAATAAGGAACCAAATGCTATGTGCTGAAATCTTTGTGTAGGCGTATCACTTTGAGTTAAAAGATACAATAATTAAATTAGATACATTCAAAAAGAGTATTTTTAAACTTACTGATTTTCTACTTGTCCGCTATGCTGATGATGTTTCGAAGGGTCAGAATTTTCTAGACATAGCTTGTCATACTGAGCACCTAACATTTCGAAAAGTGCTATTAGGTCAGCAGTTTTTCCGGGTTTTGACTGATCTGTAAAACCCACGATAAGTTGTAATGAGTAAGGTAAAATTATTTCCTTACAGCAAAATGATGCTAATTTTAAAACACGCCAGTAACCTTAATTTGATACAGTCACTATCAATAACATTTTCCCAAGAAGGTTTGTTGTTTTGAGGAATTATTATAAGTGACTATCGCATATGAAAATACGATTAAAAACAATATTGATCAATATAATTGCGAAATATGAGGTTGTTGAAGTTCTGATGGATTCAATAAAACAAAAAAAACACTTCTGTGAACTTGGCTCTAATACGTTAAGTCCTACCAGACATTTTATGTTAAGTATCTTATCAGTTTTACAGCATTAAGACATTCAGATTATGTTCCACATATAGTTGTGAAGTAATGATTAGATCTGGTAACTACTATTGAGATCATGTTATAACCATTTTTTTACTAACAAACATTTATTCCATTCCATCCATTCAATACAATAATTTCCTTTCGGCCATAAATAAACATGCGAGTATGGTAGATTGAAAATCAAAATTTTTCAATGCAAAATTTCTGCAGGTTTCGCAAATCACTTTTCTATGAAAATTTATGTTTCGAAAAGTTTATTCTGTTTTAGATGGTATTAATAGATTAATTCCAGTGAAAGAAAAAATATTATTTTTCAGATTAGCTGTTAGTAACAAAGTATGTAACATACAACATTTGTTTCTAGGTCAGAAATACTTTCAGGTTTATAGTTAAAATTTATATCCTTTTTGATATAATTTTGAATAATATTAAGACCGAAAAATGAAATAGAGTGAATACCTGAAAAACGCTACTACACTAAAAATTCAGCTATTGGACGTTAGAATACCGTCACAGTAGTTTATAAGTAAAAATAACTTTTTTGGTAGAGTCACATTATCAGAGCTGAATGGTTTAATCCTGGAGCTTTCACTATTCTTCCGAACAAAGTCATCGGAACAAAATTCAGATGGAAGTTAGGTGCTCTGCTAACAGCTTGTTTTGTCTACTGATGTGAACAGAGAAATAAGAAGCATTGACAAACTACAGAAGCTATCTTTGGGGACGTTATTTCATTCAAATCAAAGCTTGTAAAACAGTAACATTTACTTTTGTCCCTAGTCTATTTTACAGATCATAAGCTTTCGTTTGATGTATGATTCACTGCCATAGACTTTTCTGTTCCAAAGGTACTGTAATTTAAACGTAATCTTTTGTACACTATTTTCTACTCTAATCCCCCAGTTTTGGACTTAATTGTATTTTCGTAATCATTGTACGTTGTGGTCGGTTTAGTCATCTACTTATTAATGAATCTTTTTACACTAATCTGGAAAATCTGGTGCCAGATCAGAATTGGGAATAAATCAAGTAATGTTCCAGTTGACTTGCCTTCTCTCTCGTGGCGTGCCTGTCAGGTAATCAGATGATAGAATAGTTTTCGTCTCTCTACCCAACTTCGAAATCACGCATACTAGCCTCAAGGTTAGGCCAGTCAGCCTATCGCAGCAAGGTCTTAATCTACATTATACAAGTTATCCTCGGCACGAAAGTGGGTAGACAGACCAAGGACGCAACATGATCTTGATCTTTACTGATTACTGTTGGCCTACGACCTGTCGTTATATATACGGTTATTTTTGTAGTCTACCTCTTCGACCGCATTCTTGACCTCATATTTGTCCACGAATTTTGGTTGGTAAATCGGGTTGATTTTGACGTGTTTATTGATTACTGAACAACGTGATAACGAGGCTTCTGAAGGTCTTATTTTTTCTGTATATCCAAAACCTCAACATTTTTTCTGTTGAACGTGTGTCCCCAATTGTCTACACGGATTGCTCATAACAAAGATACATCGCAGCATTTGAAAACTATTTGGTATTCATGCAGAAGCAGATGAAGAGGAACAAGAATTAAATCGGAGGAGTAGACTATCAAAATAACCATGCATATAACGACAGGTCATTGATTGATAGTAAACAGTCAAGATAAAGGTTGACAAAATAAGCTATCCGTGGAGTACTTAACTTCCACCTGAAATTTGTGATAATTTTTTCAGAAGAACAATAAGAGATCCAGGATTAAACTATCCATCTTAGAAAACGAGATTTCACCACAATCATCCACATGAGCTACAAATTATCATTACTGTCTAAAAATAACTTCATTAGTTGTACCAAAAATATCGATTAGAGTTAATCTGTGATCTGATAAGAAATTTAGTTCTAATCATACTTTCTAACTCTAAAGTGAATAAAGATTCATGGTGGTGTAGTAATTAAAACGGTTAAATAAGTCATTTTTATATTCTTTTGATAAAACATTAAGAGATTTACCAGTGTAAAGCTTTCTAACTTTAATGCTTAACTGATATATTTTACATTTTTAGATACGTTTTACACATATGTTTTTTATGTTAAATTTGAAAATTGATTATCGTGTAGTATTTAGACACAACTGTGATACAGGTCACGGCTCAATCCCTAACTTGGAATCCGGAAGGGAAGCGGAAAAGAGGAAGGCTAAAGAACACACTATGCCGGGAAATAGAAGCAGATATGAAAAGGATGAATAGCAACTAGAAAGAACTGGAAAGGAAGGCTCAGGACAGAGTTGGATGGCCTATGCTCCTCGACGAGGGGTAACAGGCGTAAGTAAGTAAGTAAGTGATACAGGTCATTTTATGTTGGGTATGAGTAAATATAAAGAGGTTACATACAAGTCATAAATCTTGTAGTGCCGTGCTTCAATAATAGTTTACTTCGATAACCGTTATTATGTAGTATCGGTTGTTATGTTAAGCCCATATACTTTATTCTAGCTACTGGCCTAGCCAATTCGCCTATCCATTATGAGTCATATTTTGATCTTGTTAATTATTCGCTTATTAACCTTGACTATATTTTTATATGAGCTTATATGTGTACCCTTCGTATCCTATTCATCATATGTCTGCCATTCATTTTTGTCTGATTATAAATATTGAGTGATGCTTGCTTATAGCGTGTTGGCTTCCCAGCCATCTCCACTATGCATCATCTTTGCTTCGCTTACTTACACTTGCTCATGTGCCCACAGCTTTCAGGTCCGCATCATTTATCAATATAAATGTAGTTGCCGCTTCCTTTTGCCTTCTGATTTTATACACCGTTAAGATTGGTATAATAACGGTTATCGAAGTGAACTATTGTTGAAGCACGGCACTACATAACTGGCGATCCCGACGTACGGACACGAAAATCTAATGATAAGGATAACACGTCAGATAAAGTAATTACATTTTATTCATCAAGTATAGAAACCATAATTTCACCTATGGTTAATGGTTTCATTATGGTACTAATTAGCATGTTGTTATTTATTATCAATGTAGACATTTTTTAAAAACATTTCTAGAGTAATATGTAGTAAACTTGGTATTTTTTTAATTCACACTGAACAATGGTCTCAATGTAAATTTCACGACTTTATTCAAAATTATTTGCCCTATAGTTTAGATCTGACTAACTTCTATAAATGGATGGGAAACCACTAGTGAATAATAGATTTGATTTTAAGCATTAGAACAATGTAGATCTTGAACATCAGTTCATATAATTACCAATAATATATAGCTTATTTTTGACAGAAAAAATGGCTTCTTACTACATTATAGCTTAGTATAGATGAACATTGTTCATCAGAGGAAATAGATTTAATGGTCTCACTTAATCAAGGAACAACAAAATGATGTAAGCAGACAGTTATTCCAAGTGGTATCCTAGCTACGGAGCATGCATAATAAGGGGTATTATTATGTAAAAAAAGGCTTAGGACAAATAAATCAGGTTTTGCAACCCATCTATGGGTATACTCTGAGCTTGAAAAGTATCTAGTAGGTAATTTGTATTTAGTATTTTTATTAAAGTGTTATTTTGATATAATCAAATAGTTTATGTCTCCATTTTGGCCCAGATAAGTGATTTATCAGTCATAATTGAGCTTTAATTCAGTTTTCAGATCAATAACTATCTATTAAATAACAATAAATTATACTCTGATGAGGAGAGTAATAATATACACATGTAAAAGCACTGGTTTACAAGCGCTTATCCAGGATTCTACCAAAGATCGAATTCAGGAACTTCTGTCGCGCACTCAAAAGCATAACTATTAGACCACTGAGGAATTATTGACTGAAGTTAGACATGTATGCCGTTGGATTCTGGCTCAGTGGTTCAGGAGTTTGGCGTTCTTGCGCGTGGCCGAAGTTACTAGGTTCAAGTTTAGGTTCCAGAGGCAATGAATGCACACTGCTGAGTAATCCCCTACTGGAACGAAACTGCTTTCTAGTTTCAGCTTTTATTGTAAACTACGAAAATATATTAAAGTTTACAATGTAAATGCTAATGTCTTTCCAGTTACAAATTACTTCATTCTACCCTAGATAAGAAACATTTGGTTATGTTATCGAATAACCATATTAAGATAAGTACAACTATGATGCCATCACTGTCCAAAGATGAAATTTTATTACTAATAATAGTTAGAAATAGCTATAGTATTCTTGCATCAAGTCTACACTTCTTATTTCATAGAGTTTCTTTATGAAATGAGGAGTTCGAGTCAACGGTCAAGTTTAGAATGCATTTTAAAAAAAACTATTTATTTTTTTTCTAAGCAGCTAAACGTCTTATGGCAAGACAAATTCACATTAGAATATGTTGAAATATCATGGAAAATTTGTTTCGGATCACGTTCATTAGCGAGATTTCACTTTACAAAACAATTTAGTAAATACATGTAGTATATCGTACACGTAAGTATACTACACACCTACACGTCATGTGTTAATAAGCTAAAATCTTTTTAATTATTATCTATTTTAAAACACCACCAGACTTTAAGGCTACTTGCAAAAAAGGTAAAGTAAAACTGTTACGATAACTCTTAATTATTTGACATTTAATGGGTCAAAATAGTGTTTTATAAAAACTTGCAAAGAGGATTAAGTATTGTCTTATCTATTTTAAATGAATACAGAGAAGTTCAGTATAAAGAGATTAACATGTAAGCATAAAACTAAAGCTTTATGCCTCTGAAACTATATTTCCTTCAGTTCTCTAGGCACTAACTTCGCCTGTAGCTCTTCTAGAGTTAATGCCGGTCCCAAGCCCATGTAGAGGAGAAGGGTTGGGCATAGGGTTAACAACCCCATCCCGTGGAAAACTAACTCGCTAAAATACGCTAACCAGAAAAATAATTCAAACCATTTAACCTCTGTCCTGGGAGTTGAAGGAATAATTATGACGTCTCATGATGAAAGCCAAAATTCTTCGGAAGTCACGAGACTGATGCACCTTCTAACAACCGGAGCGACACTCTTTATAGGTACATGGAACGTCCGGACAATGTGGGAGACAGGAAAGACCAGCCAAATAGCAATGGAAACGAGGAGATGAAAATTGGCAGTACTCGGAATCAGTGAAAAACATTGGATACAAGCTGGACAACAAAGGCTAGGTACAGGAGAGATGCTGCTGTACTCCGGTCACAAAGGGGAAAATCCTCCATACACTCAGTGAGTTGCACTAATGATGTCCAAAGAAGCACGAAATGCATTTGTAGGATGGGAATCTCATGAATCCAGAATTATAAAAGCATCATTCAAAACAAAGAAGGAAGGGATCACAATGAATGTCATCCAATGAGATACTGGCAAACTCAAGAATTCAAGATAACTCTCAACAACAGGTCCCAAGGTTTACAGGATCTACTGAAAAAGAAAGGTACTGCGATGGAGGACAACTGGAAAGGGATCAAAGAAGCACTAATTTCGACGTGTCAGGAGGTTCTGGGTCTCAAGAAGCATCAACATAAGGAATGGATCTCTATGAGAACCCTGGACAAGATTGAAGAAAGGAAGAACAAAAAGACAGCAATTAACAACAGTCGAACGCGAACAGAGAAAGTCAAAGCACAAGCAGACTACGCAGAAGCAAACAAGGAAGTGAAGAAGAGCAATAAAGCCGACAAGCAGAAATACATGGGCGGGCTAGCAGCGATGGCAAAAAGAGCTGCAAGGGAACGGAATATGAAACAACTATATGATACAACGAAGAAATTGATAGGGAGGTACAGCGAACCGGAGAGACCAGTCCACGACAAAGAAGAAAAACAATCACGGAGATTCAAGAACGGAGAAGAAGATGGGCAGAATACTTCGAGGAACTGCCGAGTAGACCAGCTCCATTGAATCCACCGGAGATCGAAGCAGCACACACTGACCTTCCTATGGATGTCACTCCACCAACGATCGAAAAAGTCAAGATGGCCATCAGACAAATCAGGAGCGGGAAAGCGGTAGGATCTGACAATATACCAGCTGAGCACTGAAGTTAGACATTGAAGTAACTGCAAACATGCTTCACATTCTATTCAGGAAGATGTGAGAAGAGGAACAAGTGCCAACGGATTGGAAACAAGGACACCTTATCAAGATACAAAAGAAAGGATATCTGAGCAAATGTGAGAATTACAAAGGCATCACATTGTTGTGAGTACCAGGAAACGTTTTCAACTGAGTGTTTCTGAACCGGATGAAAGACGCAGTGGACGCTCGACTTCGAAATCAACAGGCTGGATTCCGGAAGGATCGATCGTGCACTGATCAGATTGCGACACTACGCATCATAGTGGAACATCCAGTTGAGTGGAACTCATCACTATACGTCAACTTCATTGACTATGAGAAGGCGTTTGATAGCGTGGACAGGAGAACATTATGGAAGCTTCTTCGACACTATGGAGTTCTTGAGAAGATTTTCAACATTATCCACAAATTATACAACGGACTACAGTGAAGAGTCATGCGTGGAGGACAGCTGACAGATCCATTTTCAGTAGGGACCGGAGTCAGACAAGGCTGTCAACATTCTCCCCTCCTCTTTCTTCTGGTGATTGACTGGATTATGGAAACCTTGACATCTGAGGGGAAGCACGGAATACAGTGGATATCTCAGAATCAATTAGACGATTTGGACTTTGCAAATGACCTAGCCCTCTTGTCCCATACTCACGAACAAATACAGACGAAGACAACAAATGTAGAAGCAGCCTCTGCATCAATAGGCCTCAACACACACAACGGAAAAAGCAAGATTCTCAAATAGAACACGGAGAACACGAACCTGATCACATTTGATAGCGAAACCCTGTAAGAGGTGGAAACATTCACGTACCTGAGAAGCATCGTTGATAAACAAGGAGGATGTGATGCAGACGTGAAGGCGAGGATTTTCAAAGCAAGTACAGCATTTCTACAGCTGAAGAACATATGGAACTAAAAGCAATTTCCAACCAGCATGAAAGAAAGAATCTTCAACACGAACATCAAGACAGTCCTACTGTACGGAGCTGAAACATGGAGAACTACTACGACCATCATCAGGAAGGTACAAGTATTTATAAATAGTTGTCTACGCAAAATACTCAACATCCATTGGCCGGAAACTATCAGCAACAGCGTTTTATGGGAGAGGACAAACCAGCTTCCAGCTGAAGAGGAAATTAGGAAAAGAAGTTGGAAGTGGATCGGACATACATTGAGGAAATCTTCAAACTGCACCACGAAACAAGCCCTAACTTGGAATCCAGAAAAGAAGCGGAAAAAAGGAGGGCCTAAGAACACGCCGGGAAATAGAAGCAGATATGAAAAGAATGAATGAGAACTGGAAAGGATTGCCCAGGAAAGGGTTGGATGGAGAATGCTGGTGAGAGGCCCATGCTTCTCTACTAGGGGTAACAGGCGTAAGTAAGTAAGTCTCTAGACACTTCCTAATAACACTGCAGATCTTTATTTCATACCATCATATCGATTTTTATTGAAAGAACTGTGTTTTTGATCATAAATTGTATTTTCAACCATCTGCAACATTTGTTGAAAGTGAATTATTCAGTTAATTCTGATTTCGCAATGTTTTCATGTACTCAAATGTCTTCAGAGTGAACTTTCGATTTCCAGTAAATAATAATGTGAAAATCCAGGCGTATGATCAATATGTCGTTTTTCTCTCGATTTTCTACCTAAGTTCTCTGTTGAGTGCATTTTATAAAGATATCCAAATTAAGTAGTGTCGACCACTTACACTGTGATTACCAGTTCTGATAATGTTTCTCACATTATTCTTCCCAACTTTGGGTATAGATGTATAATTGCCATGTAACCTTACAAATTGTCTTTCATTTAACCTATTTTCGATAACTTTATTGCTTATAGTACAACTGCAAATAAGTTTTAACAATATAATTAAATAGACCCTTGTAAATTATATTATATTTGTGTACAACTTGATGAGTCAGCATCAGAAACCTATCTTAATAAAACTGTTATTTAAATATGACAAATCAATGAAAAGGCAACAATAATTACCTGTTTCATCATTCATTTTCGGATATCTGGGAAAATAAAAAAGGTTAAAAAAGTACGTTTTGAATAAGGAATGTGGCAGAGTATGGTCTTTGTTTGGTCTGTCTCAGAAACGCACAAATCTAAGTACAAACTTTATTCTCCAATAAGGCTTAAGGTAGTTAAAGCGATTAGTATATTCAACCATATTTACATTAGTTGTAAACCTTGCCATTAGCTTTGATCAAAGAAAGATGATATAAAAAAATTTAAAAAATCCCCAATAAATGATTATATTGCCTGTCATTACTGTGATATCAATAGTACTACTATGATAACTCCTATTAAACTGTATACCTAACTGACTATTTGATAGCCTAAAACTTAAACAGATGTTTTAAATCCAGTCTAATTGGCTGACTCTGTAATTTGACTTCAGATTACAATATGAATTAACGTTTGTAAATTTTCATTGATTATTAGTTGGCTTTATTAATAAATATATATGAATATTTTTTCGTGACATCCCAAGGAGTAGAAAATTGTAATCCCGACGTTTCATGACTTAACGTGAGTCACTTCTTCAGAGTACCATTTGAACTCATGTTCATTTTATGTCGGTTTTTTACTAACTCTGAAGAATTCACGGAACGTCAGAAATACAATTTTGTACTCATTGGGATATCACAAAAAAATATTTGTTATCAACTTTATACCCCATCCTCAATTTATTTGAAACTATAAAATTCAACTTTGGTATTGATACTTACAATATTTAACTTTTTTCCCGTTATATTTTTGCCTCTTGGAAAGGAATTCTGAATAGTATTATCTAAAAGTCCCACTATTTTGATTTACAAACTTTATATGAAAGACCCAGAAATAATATGAAAATCATGCGGTTAACTGTGCTTTATAAATCCGAAGACTTTTGTATGGTATAAAATATGATTGAAGAGTTAAATTTATCATTTCCAAACATTATATAGCTTTTTGTGAATATTATGATTTAGTTGTAAACCATTTTAGAATTACTTTCAAAAGGTGATCAAATAGAAAGGTTCTCACTAAAATGTAAAATCACGCGTATTGGATAGATAACGCACCCGCCATTTATTACTAAAAGCCGTCAAGTAGAAGTACATAACTGTGTTACAGAGTTTTAAAAGGACTGAAATGTAGAAAAATCTCTTGATTAGTACGGTCAGTCGATGAAGAAACCGATGGACGTCTTGAGAGAAGATAAAAATCAGTTAGCTTAACGAATAAAACATAAAACACGAGAACCCTAGGAATCTCTGTTGTAATTCGTTTTTCACTCTATAATGACGCTCCATATACCTATAGTCCTATATAACCTAAGAACTAGATATTTAAAATTTGAACATAGTCAGTCATTTGATGGAAAAAAATTAAATCGTTGATTTTTCTAGATACCGAACCATTTATAATTATTCCTGGCAGTAAGAATAAAATTTCAGAGTATTCTAAGATTATGTTTTAAATTTGAATAGTTTTAAGAAATAGTTCTACATTATATCATGAAATCAATCATTGATTTGATTATTTAGGTCAACTATTTTATGTATAGCCAATTGATAATTATTCACTGCTTAATAAATTTGAAGAGAAGTTTGGTTTTATACTAGAGAAGGGAAAATATTTTGAGAGGCAATATCAACAAATGATTGGATAATATAAAGATACAAAATTTAAGGAATCACTGATTATTCACAGTTATTATGATTTCATGATCTACAACCATAAATGGAAACGAGTATACTTTTTTAATTCTCAGTAATAGGGAGAAGTGAATGGTTAGTTACTAAGATAATAATATCTGCTCATGATAAAATTTTACATCGGTTTCGGAGCCATGATTCATATAGTACAGCAGAGGAATACTGTTCTTGTAGGATTATCAAAAATATAACACAATAGCAAGTAAATGAAAGTTATGACGGAAAACTGTTGAGAATGCATTACCTAGGTGTTAAGCGAGTTTGTAAGATTAGAAAACAAATACGTATCACCGTTATTGTAGTGTTTAATTAGACTCCCAGAATAGATAGAGCTCGGTCTGAGGTGTGTTCGACATAAGATAAAAGGTAAAGAAAGAGTTTAAAGCTTAACGCTGGGATGTAACATCACAATGGTGTCGAAAAAAACGACTTGTCGTTATTTCATTGTGAATCATTTCCTTTCCCTCTTCCTGACACTTCATGTTCAACCCTACATCCCTCAGTTTAATTAGTTGACAAACCTTTGAAGTCTATCATAAATCATCTTGAGTGTTACTGAAATAGCTACTGTTTTAAACTGAATAGATGGGCTGTTAATGTCAGTTATCCTGATAATTATATTTTCAATATGCATCATGGAAATTATTGAAGTTTATCGAGATCACAAACCGACCTAAGTCAGGCAACCAATAAAAACGTGGAAGCGCTGGACGGCCGTTTTGATCTAGTATGGGACTCCTCAGTATGGCTTATCCACGTCATCATCACAGGGAATCAAAACCAGAACCTTCGGTCTCGTATACGAACGTTTATATTCTGGACTACTGAGCCGGAGTCCAATGACGTTCAAGTCTAATTTGAATCACTATGCCGTATTACATAACAATCTACTATTGTTTACAAGTTTGAGATTGACCGAGATATTCTACTGATCATATTACTTTATTGATTCTGACGGGTTAATAATTCATGTTTATCATTCTATCATGTAAAAGATATTTTGCTGAAACAAGCCTTTAAAATTCCCTTTCAAAAGTGTAACTAATAGATAAGTAAACGAAACAAAAATGAGTTCATAGTTAAGAACTCTACTGGCAGATATCTTAGTGTCTAAACTGAGAATTAAATGGATTGTTAATAATAATTGTTAATATTTATAATATCCCGGTGAGCAGAAAATGGGATTTTCGACCTTTTGCAACTTAGTGCAGGTCACTTCTTCAGAGAGTGAATAACCAACTGAGATGAATTAACATTATATGGTACAAAGGAACTAAACAAAAATATTATGCACAATCAGAGAACAGATCTGACCAAGTAAATCTCATATCGATTCAGTTACGGTAATTTTTTGTGTGACATGTTTGTGTATTTGAGTTTATGATGGTGGGTGTGAAAATTGTGATATTTGTTATACAATGATAAGATTTATCAATAAAAAAGAAACCCAGTTTGAAAATCTCATGTCTCAGCATAGCAGAAAAGAAGTGACGGTGAATCGAAAAAAATCCCTATAAGAACCATTTCAAAATGAACAAGTATAGAATTTGCATAGTCGGCAACCTATGAATACCGAAAGATGTCTAGTTCCTACTTGATACCTTAGAGTCCACAATGTCTACATATCTGACGTAAACTGCATCTCGGAAATATTTCAATGAAAAATAATTATCACCTTGTGATACTAATTATGTTGGTTGTACTATGCTCTCTTTCTAAATTCACTTTTCAATATATATGGACTGTGTTCTATATAGGAGAAAAATAAAACATATTTCCAATTTATGGCATATCATTGTCACTGAATACTCATCTTTTCGATACTGTATCTTGATTTTTGTTTAATTGAACGGTTCACAATTTCTAGAGAATATTTGCATAACACTTCTTTACGTCAGGTAATCAATACCGTTAATAGGTCAGTATAGATGATTTTTTGATCAAGCAATAATAATTCATATGCCACAGATTTTATGGGCATTGAAAAAATCTATTTAGGTTTCCAATACTTGTTTTACAAATGGTTAAGGGTGAAAGCGGTTTAACCCATCAGTACTTCTAGTGCCCTTACTTTCTAGAAGGGTAATTTTTCCTCGACAGTTATTTGAATAGATAAATAAATTCTTTAATTCAGAATTAACCAGAAAGATGCTTAAAATTTCCAAGACTGTACGATTTGTAATTGAACCAGTAGACCTTCAAATTAGCGGTATTTTTGCACCCGACCCACTTCGTTTCATATAATTCCCTAACCAAATTTTATTCTTTAAGGCAGAAATTTATCCTCAATCTGAACTCAACCAACTCGTTAGGCAATAGTTGTTCAGTAAAATCGATTAACGAACAGTGATTATCTGACTTATGAAGGCAAAATAATTGACTGAAGCAATAAAAATCGTAGTGCAACCAACTTATTTCAAACGGAAACAAATACTAGTTGTGTATCATTTCAATATGCTTCTTTATTTTGTCTGACTAGTGTACGTAACCGTACCTGTTGCTTTCAATAATCCAACTATTAGACTACATGAAATTATTTGAAATAAAAGTTTTCTTTCCTTCGGTTACTCTTCCGAGTTTTTATAAATAAGATTTTTAATCATAATCATTCACAGTTTGCGACAGGTTACTCGAGAGAACGTATCTTTTTACTAAGAAATAAAATGTTTTATATTCTACTATATAAGAGAATACCCAATACAACTGAATTACGTATTACGAGTGATCTAAATATGTTAGGATTTAATAACTGCTATTCTAAGTAACCTTTATGTATTTATGGACTTCACAAAGGCGTTCCATTGCTATCACCATCGGATTGATTTCAAAGGTATACCTTTAGCAGAATTTTACCAAAACTTTTGAGATCACTGGTTTCGGAAATGCTCGATTTTGAAGACCCACATAAAAAACACAACTAAGTGCTCATAAATATGCTATCATTACACAAAATTTTTTAAACCTGTTAAAAAAAGGCATATATTTTGAGCTTAAAAATCATTGCAACTTCTGGTTCATCCAGCATCAGAATAAAAATGGACTGTTTATAAACAACTATAGTGAACTGTCACTTATCTATATCTTGAATATGATTGACAGAGGCTTGTTCAACATAGGAAAAAGTGCGGCCATTTATAGCGTTTCTGATGGAAATTAATGGTCTTTTCTACCATAAAGACAAAAAAGTACTTGACCTCGGTAATCTATTCAAAAGGAATTCAAACGTAAATATATTCCGGTTTCGTACAAAACACTTACATATTTTCGCAACAGTATCTTGAATTCGTATTCTCAGGAGGGTCACTTTTGTTGTCGTCTTCATCGGTTACGAGAGATTGACTGTTTTCTTGTTTATCTTGTATAAGTTCCTCTGTGATATGGTTTTGATAATCACGGTAGACATTATTGTTTTCTGGATGGGTGGAGGTTACCTTTCGTCTATATTGCTTTTGACACCAGGGGAATGATGATCGAGGAGCACGAACAGTGATATTTTTAAAGCACGGAAAATTAATGTTTAGTCCCATCTTCCGAAAAAGCAGATTCTATAGAATTAAAAAGCACATTTTTCAGCATGATTGACGACTAAAAGTTTATACATATTAAAATCTATTTTATTTTTAACCGTTTGGTGGTTGCATCCTAATTCTACAATAATTTGATGGTCATTCATGAATGACTTGCTTGTTTATCATACTTATCGTTATTTCACAGGTTTTGTTTATACTATTCTAAATATTTCGATGCATAGCAGTAGCTAAGAATGTCTTTAAGGAAAGTATTTTAGTTAGCTTACAGGTTAATAATTTTTTCAAATAAATCTCTATATAACTCTCATAATATTTTGGTGTCTGTGAATCTTTATCAAGTATATGAGTTCATTGGACCAAAAGTTACTTCTTGCTGTATCTCAGTTATCTTGGAAATTAAGAATACATACTTGTAAATGAACTCATTTTTTCGAACCGTCAGTAGCTTAAAGGGTTTCTAAATGCGGAAGCTAGTTAACGGATTTTATACGTGTCTGATACATTTGGAAATACCGAATAGATTTAGCCACAACTGCGAATATTCTGCAGAATATTGATTTAATGTGGAAAGACATTTTTTATCATAAAAACGTGGTTTTTGTTTTAGGAGGTGAACATCTAATTATGAGCTTCATGTTTGGGTTCAGTTTCAAGCAATTAACGAAAAAATTGTCTACAGAAAATCAATTTCAAAGTTGAGTGTTTTTATTCATCGGTACCAAAAAGCAATTAAAAATGTAGATTAAGTTTTGCAAAATAAAAATGACATCACAATAGGCCTCTTCCATGTGTAAAGCTACATTTTAATGAACAACTAATGATGAAAAGTTGTTAACGTTTCATTTTAGGTGTGAGGTTTTGAGATTTTGAAACATAGCAAACTGTGAGGATTTAATCTGTCAAACTGAAATATGTTTTGCGTATCAAATTTATATAAACACTAAAATCTTTGAGTTATTCACATGAACGGGCAGAACTTCTTAACTTTTTTAGCAAAAAACCGAGTATAATTAAAACTTTTACAAGCCACACTATCTCGTTGTGATAAATGTTATTGTTATATGTTGATCGATTACGATCAAATCTGTTTGTTGTTTGCTACTCAAAGATATTTCCATTTCGATTAAACCAAAAAGGCAACATAATGTTAACTAGAGAATAATTTTCATCATCTATTTTAAGATTACAATCCCGAAAATCAAGCACTATTTAGTCGAATGCTTCCGTATCCTGATCTTTTGTATAGTATAAGACCTAAACAGGAGACTGTTGATTTTACCAGGAAAAACGCCTCCTATAAATTATCGCATATTTTGTGCATGAAAGACGGCAAGATACTTAAAACCTCTCTTTTTGTATTACATTTTACTAATAAAGCATATAAGAACTATGTATAACATGTCCTGACTTTTGTGTAAGAAAATTAGCAAAATATGCAAAGGTGAAGTCGGTATTCAAAATTCTACACTCCACTTTAAAGAAAAAGGTACGCAGAAAGAATTTGTAGGTTGGTTATTCATGCAAACCTACAGGACCAAAACCTTCATTTATTATAGATAAATGATCAGTGCCACCTAATTAAACGTGTTAGTCGGTTATTCTCCAAAATATCTTAATCGTAGTATCTTGATTGATTATACACACTCTGTATGAGGTTTTCTGACTTGAATATCTTATTGAGCAAGCTAAGTATAAATGATAAGATCACTAAAATAGTCGAATTCGGTAACAAATAAAAGGGCTAGAGGAAGTCGCGCTTTGAATGTTTGTGTACATTTGGTAGCTTACTGAAAAAATGAAAATAACCACATAAACACCTTAAGGTTTTAGCCGTTAATAATGTAAACGTATCTTAATAGGTATCTTAATTTTGATTTAGGGGTTGTTGATTTCAATGAATCAAATTAAATGAAGTCAAGTAGTCATTTGTAGAAACTACCAACACATTTCCAGTATATAGGCAGCTTGGATATTCTAATTTCACGTTATTCTGTCTTTTAGAGATATTGATTTTCCTCCTGATCATTATGTCAGGGATTGATGGTTAACACACGAAAGATTAAAAGGTTGTTAAACAATGTGTCAGTTCTTTGCTGACAAACTTGATACCTTGCGAAAACTGAGCTAAAACGATGAGCAGCCCGCGATTTTTAAAACCACCACATTTCTTACCTAGCGGTTTCGAGTAGTCCTAAACTCTATATTCTCAAGATGTAACCGATATCTATTGACTGTTTATATTAAAGTTCAAAGCCATCGACGTTTTGTTATTGATTCGAAATTCCTAATCAGTCGGATATAAAATAAATACAATAAGTTAATTAATATCATGAATTATCTTCATGCTACACTTTACCTACACTTTCTATGAGTGTTCCGAGTTGTATTACAGTCATTAACATCAATTTCGACAGACAAGTCAAAATTGCGTGAATATCAAATTGGCTAAAATGTTGTTACTTTAAAGTCAACACTGAGACGTGGAAAACATGAGGGTTATGATCTGTCATGCTAAATTTACAAAATTGAGACAACTATTGAAACCCCGAATATATAGATGTTTTATCGCCAATAAAAACAACATTTAAATACATAAGTACGATGTTTCACGAGCAGACCTGAAAGAATTCGAATAACTGTACTAAATAAATACTTCACTGATCACTGATGAGTAATTAAATTTTGACCAAAGTCAAGTAAAGTATATCTAACAGTTTATGTAACTTCTGTTTTCGGACTTGATATTGTTCTGTGATTTTAAAAAATAGTTGAATAGAATCACTAAATGGCTCAAATGATGATTTGACAAATAGTCAGGACGACAATTCATTATGTGTTTAATTTATCGCCAAAAGCTATACAGTTAAACAACCGAACTGATGATAGTGAAATTGTGTAAATTCGCATTTGTTCATGCCTTTCTGCCGCGATTTGCTCTTATGGTTGCTTCTCGCGATAAATGAATGCTTCTTTTTGATGTAAGAAAGATGCCGTTGTCGATTAATTATTTGCCTCTAGAATGATGTGAAGCTATTCGACTTTTAAATATGAATCAGATGGAAGTTAGAATGATAAGCACATGTGCCCATATTTTTAGTTCTTTGACACACATTATTTATTTTATGCTTTCCCGAAGACAGTGTCCAACCAGAATATTATCACTGTTGTTTCTGAAGGATTTTTGTCAACTTGACATTGAAATAATATAACAATGCGTAAATCGAGATTCTTACTAGAATACAAGATATGTCAAATACCCGGAATGTTTTGTAGCGGTTTATACTTCAAAACAAATAGTTTTGTAAGCATTCGACACCGTTGATTAATCGTCTATTTTTTACGCCTGCAATTACTAAAAGTTAATTAATCAAGCCTTTTAGCCTTATCTCAGATAAGATGCGTAGGATTTCCTTCTCTACATCCAAAACTGTCTGAGCAACTGTGAGCATTACGAAGGCATCACATTGTTATCAGTGTAGAATCCATTTGAAGGTTTCGTGTGTGAAAATCCCTTCATACATACATCTATAGCTTCTTCTCAATGTTTTTGTCGTTTGTACATTATTGTTAGTATTTTTTGATACCATTTTGTATTGTGGTGTTTTATTTCATGATAGTTTTCTCCGTTTCTTCTGTTGCTTTCATTGATTTTATATATTCTTCTTGAACTGTATACAATTTGTTTTAATTGATATTATTTTGGAGGCTGCCACAATTTTGTTTACAATTGAAACGAGTTTCTAAACTTTTACTGTAGTTATTCAACCACATCCGGACCTATTGGAATTTAGGTTTGCATCTTACAGTTCTAAACAAATATTGGTTGGCTGCTTGGAAGAACTTACAGTTTTAAACAAATATTGATCGGCTAGCAGCTTGGTTCGACTTTGCAGTTCTGAACAAATATCCTTTGGTCGGTTTCTTGGCTATCATGTTGTGCATTTCAATCTTGGTTCCCTGAAATTCGTCGCTTCGTTCGAGATGACAAAACTTCGTCAAAAGAAGATAGTTTCCAAGCTCGATGGTGCTGATGGACCCAAATTAAGCGACGAATACCTTTGTACAAAGCAAGTGCCTTCTGATGTCTTTGTGTCTCATGGTTCTGATACAGTTAGGGCTAATTATAATGATAGTGATTCTGGTTGTGAGTGCAAATGTTACCTCATTAATTGATATTTCTAATGAGGGTGATACGCGTAAAGTAATTGCCAGAAAAAAACGTCAAGAAGGAACGGAAGCTGAAGATAATAATGACCGACGACATCATATGCACAATATCACTGGCGAAGTAGAGTGCATTTTCCCCGATTTTTTATCTAAACCACCATCAGTTACTACAAGCTTACTTGGTATGCCTGGAAGGGCATCTTCCGCCATGCTGGCTGCTGCTGCAAAGGCTCTTAGTCTGAATGTTGTCCCTGGGGTGTTGCCACCAACACAGTTAAATACAATCACTTCTCACCATCGTTATGGCTGAGCAAAGCTTCGACACTATGAACATAACAGAAGTGGATTCTCTCCTGGAGTGTCCGATAAAGAAAAAGAATCTAAAGCTACAAGGACTTTAGTTGTTGGAAGTTTAAAACCAGATATAACGGTAAAAGTGGTACTCTCAGCTTTTGAGAGGTATGGTTATGTTGAACAAATTAATAATAAGCGTTCTCCGAAAGCTGGTGCTCTTTCTTATGCATTTGTACGCTTTCAGAATGTTGATATGACCAGTCGTGAGAAAATGTCCATGTCTGGTCGTTCTATTAGATCCCTACATTGCAAAAAAAGTTATGGTAAGGCGATCCCATCGCACTGGCTGTATATTGGTGGATTAGAATCGTGGACTTCCACTGATTCACTACAGCGTATGCTCTCTCGTTTCGGACAACTAACTTATCTTGATTGGTCTCCTAGACGAAAGTATGTAATCGCCGTTTTTGACAGCTGTGAATCAGCACTCGGAGCTAATAGACAAAAATTGACCGATCTTGAGTCGTGGATTAAATGCCCTACTTTACTGCATGCCGAGTTCGGTAGCACTATTATCGATTGTCCACAAACTATTCCTGACAATATTGAGTTCAGAAAAACTGCTGTGGTTAATTTAAGCACAGTGAATTATGACAAGCTTCCTATTGTTTCTTATTACTCAGACTGGTTAAGATTAGTCAGAGCAGTAGTGTGGTTAAGAAGGTTCATAGAATATTGGATGATACTTCGTTCATCGAGTCGCGAAGGATCTGTTCATTTAGGATGCCTGAAGGTCGAAGAGCTCGAAAGTGCTAAGCGTAAAGTCTTAATGATAGTCCAAAACGAGGTCTATGGAAGTTCACTCAGTAAATTTAAGAACAACAGTAAGGTAAATAGTCATAATGATCTGAAGCGTTTATCACCTATAATGCTCGACGGGTTACTATGTGTGGGAGGTCGTCTAAACTACTGCGATTACCTTAATGCCTTCAAGCATCCAGTAATTTTACTTAGTCGTCACTTAGTGGCAGAAATGATAATCAGACATTATCATTAGGAGGAGGGACACTAAGGAACTTCTCAAGTACTTGCCGCAATTCGAAAACACTATTGGATAGTAAAAGGGATCAGCACGGTCAGGAGAGTGATAGGTAAGTGTGTAATCTGTCGACGATATACAACGAACTGAGGACAACAATTGATGGCGCCGCTTCCTGCACGTAGAGTGAAACCAGGCTGGCATAGTTTCGCAGCTGTAGGAGTTGACTACTTTGGACCTATTTTAGTCAAAAAAAGGCAGGTCACTAGAAAAAAGGTATGGGTGTATTTTCACTTGTTTGCAGACACGTGCAGTGCATATTGAAATGACTTATAGTTCGAATACTGATTCATTCGTGATGGCCCTGTTACGTTTTATTTGAAGAAGAGGGAAACCCTCGGAAATTTACAGTGATAACGGGTCAAACTTCGTGGGTGCAATCTCTGAACTAAGGAGATTCGTTCGACAGTGGGATCAACAGAAGATAAGTAATGAATTGTCAGCGAGACAGATTCAATGGCATTTTAACCCTCTGTCATTCAGCCACAGAGGAGGAGTGTGGGAAAGAATGATAAGGTCTGTTCGTAGATTATTATTATTATTGATCACCAGGGAACAAAAGTTGACTGATGAGACCTCGGTCACCTATTTGGTTGAAGTTGAAAGGATATTGAACGATCGACCCTTAACCCCCCTTGTACATGATGCTACCGATAAACTAGCATTATCACCGAATAGTTTGCTTTTATTGAAGGAATGCGACGGAATAGTCGACGAGAGTAGCATCAGAGATAATTATGTCAAACATTGGAAACTAGTGGACAATCTTGCTAATGTGTTCTGGAAAAAGTGGCTGAGGGAGTACTTACCGTCCCTACAAACTCGTCAAAAATGGTTAATTGAGCATCGCAAATTCCAGCCAGGGGATGTAGTAATCGTGGTTTCAGACATTTCCACCCGTGGAAAGTGGCCTTTAGGAGTAGTTGAAGGTTGTGAAACAGACAACGACGAAAAGGTTAGGACAGTGACAGTTCGTACTAACAACGGGTCGGTCAGGAGAGATATACGTAAGGTATGTCTCCTTGAAGGTTCCAATTAGTTTCTTGTTATATCAATGTAGGCAGGTCGGGTAGGCGCACTGTTGTAAATCCTACTCCTTCCTTTAGTGAGGATTAAATTATAAGGTGAATCATGACATAAGACATCGATGTGGCTTGTGTACAAAGGAGGGATTTCGCAGGCCAGAGTAGAATACATTTGAAGGTTTCGTGTGTGAAAATCCCTCCATACATATATCTATATCTTCTTCTCGATGTCTTTGTCGTTTGTACATTATTGTTAGTATTTTTTGATACCATTTTGCATTGTGGTGTTTCATTTCATGATAGTTTTCTCCGTTTCTTCTGTTGCTTTCATTGATTTTATATATTCTTCTTGAACTGTATACAATTTGTTTTAATTGATATTATTTTGGCGGCTGCCATATTGACTGCTCGCTCCTTGATTGTGCGGCTTGATTTTGACTGGGATCGTGCACATTCGATTGTAATTTGGAGCACTTTCCCAGACATTGAAACACTTTGTGTTATAAAACAGCCGCTCAAACGCAATCTTACTTGATCTATCCAGAAAGGATAGAATAACACTTGCCTTTTGCTGTTTTCGGTAACTTTCATATATTTCTTACCACTTTGCTATTCATTGTAATTTAGATTGAATATTTTGGTATCAATTGTCGGTTGAATAACTGGGTGGTAATATTTGTTTAGGTGAATTTGTGCATTTGTATATATGATGAATTTTAGAACCGTTACTACATCAAAACACTTTGTTTTGATTTCAATTGAAACGAGTTTCTAAACTTTTACTGTAATTATTCAACCACATCCAGACCTATTGGAATTTAGGTTTGGATCATACAGTCAGTACCAGGAAACGTTTTCAACTGAGTGTTTCTGAACCGGATGAAAGACGCAGTGGACGCTCGACTTCGAAATCAACAGGCTGGATTCCGGAAGGATCGATCGTGCACTGACCAGATTGCGACACTACGCATCATAGTGGAACATCCAGTTGAGTGGAACTCATCACTATACGTCAACTTCATTGACTATGAGAAGGCGTTTGATAGCGTGGACAGGAGAACATTATGGAAGCTACTTCGACACTATGGAGTTCCTGAGAAGATTTTCAACATTATCCACAAATTATACAACGGACTACAGTGAAGAGTCATGCGTGGAGGACAGCTGACAGATCCATTTTCAGTAGGGACCGGAGTCAGACAAGGCTGTCAACATTCTCCCTTCCTCTTTCTTCTGGTGATTGACTGGATTATGGAAACCTTGACATCTGAGGGG